AGTACATCAAGGGCTGATGAATTGCCAGGCAGTGTGTCCAGTGCTTTTTGGTTGATGTAATTCTCATCCACACAATCACCCTAAGGGTGGGCACGACTGTATTAGCCCCAATTTATGGGTCAGGAAATGGAGATTCAGAGAGGTTAGGGAACTTGCCCAGAGACACACAGAGAACAACTGTGGCATCGGAACCCAGGCCTGATCTGACTCCAGAGTTGCCACCATGCAACCACGTGCTGGCAAAGCCTCTGAAAGGGACATGCCTGGGGACCCGACCTAGCCAGGGTTGGGGAGGGGCAGGGGGTCAGTCAGAGGAGAACACCCCAAGGCATGAGCAGAAGCGAGCTAGGTGGGATGCAGAGTGGCCCAAGTGGAGGACGGCTGCCGCGGTCCTGGGACGAGGCAGAGTCTGGTGCTTTCAAGGAACTGCAGAAGGGCCAGCGTGGCTGAGTCACAGGGAACATTCTTGTCCAAAAGAAGGTCCTGGAAGGGAATTCTTACTTCCTGATTACATGTCTAGTGATCAGAAAATCCCTTCTTTCTAGTAATCGGGCTCCTGCCTGCTTGGGGCTGCTCCAGAGAACCCGTAGTCATCATAGTACAACACCGCCCTGGCCAGGCACGGTTCTCGGTGCTGCAGAGGCCTCACCTCACCAACAGCCATCCAGGGTAAATAATCCCTGCATCTTGCAGACGAGAGAACAGAGCCTCAGAGATGCTAACTTGCCCCAGGGTCACACGGATACCAAGTGGCATGTCTGGACTCGAACCCAGACCTCAGGCCATGACCCACCTTGCTCGACAGCAGTGTGGACATCCGGGCTAACCTAGCAGCCCTCATCCCCACAGCCCACCACCCTCCCCAAGTCCTCCTCTTGCTGTGTACACACAGGTGGCTGGTTTCATGGTCCGGGGACAGGAGGTGTCCGCAGCTGAAGCCGATCTCAGCTCGGGCCGCTGTACCCCTTTGTACCAGGACGTGGGTCTGTGGCCAGGCGTTAACACTCACTCCCTGGTCTGGACACATTTCTGCCAGACTGACCGGTCACCATTTCCAATACCGGAGCCTCCGGAGGCTGCGAGAAGCTGCTGGAGCCCAGCCCCACACTCCCACCCTCCTTCTCCCTCCTGAAACTGGATCCTTTTCCCAGAGTCGCTGCTGGAGAATTGGAACCAGGAGCGGTTAGGAGTCTTCCTCCTTAGAATGTGAACTTCATAAGGAAAGGGACCCCATGTGTCTTGTTCGCTATCATATCCTCTGTGCTTTGCACAGTGCCTGGCGCCTAGTAGGCGCTCACTGCATACTCGGTGGATGAAGAAGTGAGCGGGTGGGTAGAAGGGGTCATGGACGCCTGGGCGGGTGGGTAGAGGGGCAGGGGGCCTAGGCAGAGCACTCTCCTCACATGTGGTGGCTGGCAGCCACGCTGGGGGTAGGGGGGACCCCAGACTGCAGTTGCCCTCTGCCCCTCAGCTGCCCTTGTCCCCCTGACTGGCCCCCTCCCCACCCAGGTATTCCAAAGTCAAGCATTTGCTGAAGGATCTGGATGAGCTCATGGAAGCGGTCCTGGAGAGGATCCTGGCTCCCGAGCAGAGCTACACCAACGCCACTAGGACTCTGAACGTCACCATCTGGAACGACACGCCGCTGGTTCTGATCGACGAGCGGGACCCCCACCGCCCGGTGGTCCTTGACCTCTTTGGGGATGTCCACCATGGCTCAGCAAGCAGCAGCCCAGCACCAGAAAGGACCTGCACTGCCCAGGGGTGCAAAGTGGCCATGAGACTAGTAAGTGGGCCCCGGGCACACATCGAGCAATGGACCCTTCCCAGGGAGGCTGATGGGATTTTCTTTCCTTTAATAATCTGGGTCTTGCTGGGGGAAAGGCAGGCCAGAAGCCAGTGCCCATTTTGTATGTTTACAAAGCTTTTTTTTTTTTTTTAATAGAGCTGGTATGTTAGTCAAGACACTATTGGATGCCAGTGACCCAGGTCAAACTAGCTTAAGCAAAACAAGGAATTCACGGGCTCACATACTGAGAAGTCCAGGGGTAGCCTTGGTTCAGGTATGGCTGGATCCAGGCATTCAAAGGCTGCCATCAGGACCTAACTCTCTCCATTTTTGTTCAGCTTTTCTCCCAGTTAACCTCACCCTCTGGCAGGCTCCCTCCATGCAGAGGGTCTTGGCAATATGCTGCCAGACATACACCCCATCAGCTCAGCACTCTCCCCCGAGAAACAGAACTCCTGTTCCCCAATAGCCTCAGCAAAAGTCCGGGGACAGACCCATCGGGTCACATGCTCACCCCTCAACCAATCACCGTGCGCCAGAGAATGGGCTCTCATGATTGGCCAGTCCTGAGTCATGCGCCCTGGAGCTGGGTTGACGTCAGCCTCTACCGTGTGGACGCAGTGAGGGGGGAAAGTGTGCTTTCCTAAAGAAGGAATTAAGTCTTGCTATCAAAAGACAAGAGCATAAATACCGGGGAGGTGAAAACCCACAGCCTTGCAGTGCCGTCCAATGCCAGAGCGTAACTGCCCTGCGCCGGGATACTGCGATGGCCCCCACTCCTGGGGAAGTTGAACGGGCCTAGGAATCTGTATTGTTAGCAGCCTCCCTGGTGATTCGGATGGTCACCCTTGGTTGGGGGCCTTCACAGGGTCGGGGCTCCCCCTACATCCCCAAAAAACCAGCGAACAGTCCGAGGCTCCAGAGGCCCCGTGCCCTCTCTGACCCAGTGCCCTACTGGTTTTTAGCGTTACCCGCCCTCCCGTGTCCGGCTCCTCATCTGTGAAGCAGGCTCGTTCCGGGGGACTGCCCCGGATCTCGGGGTCAGGCCCTGTGTGCGCGCGCCCGGTGCATGCTGTGTGTGTGTGTGTGTGTGTGCGCGCGGGTGTGCATGTGTGGTAGGGAGGAGGGTCTGCTGGCCTCAGTTTCCTCCCGATGATGGAGTAGGGTTGCTGTACAAATCAAATGCGGTAATAGGCCTCAGAACAGAGCCTGGGACAGAGTGAGTGTTAAGTATTACCGTCATCTCCCTAAGGAGAGACGAGGAGATCTCCAGGAATGGGGCTGAGGACAGTGCCCCCGGCCGGCCCTGGGGACGGCAGTCTCACGATGCGAAGAAGCTTCTCCCGGCCTCCTGGGTTCCAGAAGGAAGGCCCACTGTGAGGGCCGATAGAGGCAGAGTGGCCGAGGCCAGAGGCCTGGGGCTGTGGCCGTGCTGTGTCTGCATGGTGACCTGGGTGTCATGGTGGGCCGGCTGTGGGGTGGGGGCCTGCTCCCCTCAGGGGGCTCAGGCTGACAAGGCCTAGCTCCTTCCCCCAGCGAGGGGGAGGGAGCCTTGAGCCTCGAGTCCTTCATGGTCCACACAGCCTCCAGGGAGCTGCCTCTGGAAGTCTTCGAGGAGGCCGGGAAAGGAGTCAGGGGAGTTGGAGGGTCCGGGTGCGTCTGTCTGTGTGGCCACAGGAGCGTGAATGTGGATCAGCTAGGTATGTGGGCTGGGAGAAAGTTTGGATATGGGTGTGTGTGGTTGTGACCATGACATCGTGTGGCTGTGGATGTCAGGAAGTGGGCGTGTGCGTGTGTGCATGTGTGCGTGCGTGTGTGTGTGTGTGTATTTGCTCATGCATAAGGCTAGTATAGAGGTGGCCGGCGACCGTGTGTGAGACCTGGTGACCCAGCAGTCATGTGTGAGGGGACAGCCCCCGAGCCCTGCGAGCGTGAGTGTGAACATATTCTCCACCGCTCAGCAGCCGCTAGCCCCGGCACCGCGGTGCCACCAAGGGAAGGGCAGCTGGCCCTTGGGGACAGTGGCGGGGGGGAACACTGGCCAGCACGCCCTGTGCCCACCAGAACCCCACTCGGCCTCCACAGTGCAGCCTCAACGGGACCGTGTGCACTTTCCGGAACTTCACCAGCGCCACCCAGGCCGTGACGGAGTGGTACCTCCTGCAGGCCACCAACATCTTCTCGCACGTGCCCAGGCACGAGCTGGTGGAGATGGGCTACCCCGCCGAGCGGCTGATCCTGGCCTGCCTGTTCGGGCCCGAGCCCTGCAACTACAGGTGAGAGCCGCCCTGGGCCCGGCCGGCCTGCCCCCCCCCGGCCCCCCCATCACAGCCCCACGTGGCCACGGACCAGCACCATGTCCTGTGCCTCAGTGTCTCCGGTGGGATCTTCTGGGGCAGAGCCTGAGACAGGGATGTGTGGAGGGCCCATGACACATGGAGGGACTCGCTTTAGGACACGTCTGTAAAGGAAAGCAGGATGAGGAAGGAAGAAAGAGCTCAGTGAGGCTGTGGTCTCTCAGGCAACATCCGGGCATCCAGAGCATCAGCCACACCACAGGATTGGCCTCCTGAGGGGCTGGCCCTTTGTCCCGGCTGCATCAGTACCTTGTGGGGGATGGGCTGGGGTCCCCTCACTTCCCAGGCAAGGGGGCTGCAGGAGGGGCGGCTGGGAGCTGTTCGCCCCCAACAGCCAGTGGCTGAGGGGTCTGGGCGGGCACCCTGGCACCTCCTGCCCTGGTTCTCCTCCCGGACGGTCCAGCCGCCGCCTCGGCTTCCTGGGAGCAGGGCTGAGTTGGCTCAGCCTGGCACTTAGAACGGGGCCCTGGGAGTGTTGGCTGGCATCCCTGACAACCCCCAAGGCGGACAGGATGGCAGACTGAGAATAACGTTCACCCCAAAAGCCTGCGCCTCCTTCACCCGCCCTGCTGCTGACAGCCCCTGCCCTGGGCCCTAGCGTCTCTGGGGCGGGACCGCGGCCTGGAGACTGGACCCACACAGAGCCACGGCGGCAGGGCCTCAGGGTATGCGGGGCCCACGCGTGCTGGCGTCCTGTTGGTCCGGGACTCCACAGTCTCGCACCTCGGGCCCCTGAAGTCCGCGGAGTCCTGCCACCTCTCAGGAGTGACAGGCTTCCCGTATCACCCTCCCGGGGACGGTGCCTGAGCCCCGCGCTCCCTCCACCCATGAGCCTTCAGGAAGCTCTACTGAGAGTCTGCTGAACGCCGTGGGGACCCTGTGTCCCCCAAAACGCACAGGGGCGGGCACTCTACAGGCCGTGTCAGGAAATTCAGGGACCCCGCCAGAGGAGCTGCACACCCGGCCGCCCGCGTGGCGTGAGCTGGAAAGGTGTGGCCGCAGGCGGAAAAGCACAGGCCGGTGCCCCTGCTGACGGGACGCATCCTGCCATCGTTGGTGGCGGCATGGCTGGCTGCCAACCCCTCGCTCTCAGCCGGTGGCCTTTGCTCAGCGCACCTCTGGCCAGACGCTCCTGACGGCCCTCCCAGAAGGCTGTGGGCAGCCCAAGCACCGGCGTATCACATCCGCGCAGTCACCTTTGCCTCCTCGGCTGGAGAGAGAGAGGTCAGGCTCTGCCTTCAAGCCTGGAGCCCGACTGCTCAGCAAGAAGAGCCCTGGCTGGGGGGCGGGGGGGTTAGGTGGGAAAGGGGGGGTCCGTTAGGGTCTGGGGGATCTACTGTCAGGTCCCTGGGCTCTGAGCGGGGTCCTGGTGTCAGAAGATTGTGGGCGGCTCCCATGCTGGCTCCGTCCACAGAGCAGGTCCCATTGGGTCACGGGGACTGAGAGTGAGGAGTGGGTGGTCCCCCAAAGAGAAGCAGAGGAGCTGTTAGCAGAGAAGGGGGAACGGATGGCGTTGGGGCCGGCAAAACACCCAGTGTCGGCCACGCCGCTTCTGTGGTGTGGCTGTGGCTGGGGAGTAACTCTAGCGAGGGGGTCAAGGCTGGGCTGTGCGGTTAGACCCCCTGGGTTCACATCCTTGCCCTGTCTTACAAGCCGTGTGACCCTAAATAAGTTTAACCTTGATGGGCCTCGGTTTTCCTCTTCTGTGAAATGGGGGTAATAACATGCCTACCCGGCGGGGTTATTGTGAGTATTCAGTGAGGTGATATGCCAACAGAGTGCTGGCCTCAATAAATAATAGTTATTGTTGTCATTAAACCCACATTTGATAAGGAACTCTTTATTCAATAATAATGCTAACATGTATTGAGCCCTGCTGATGTGTCGGATGCTATTCTTAGCACTTCACGGGTATAAAATTCATTTAACCCTGGCCACAAGCCCATGAGAAAGGTACTCTTATGTCACCCCATTCTGTAGGAGGCAGCCAAGGCCCAGAGAGGTTAAGCAACGTCTCTGAGGTCACACAGCTGGTGAGCGGCTGTGCTGGCAGTCTGGGCCACCAGAAAACGGGAGCATCATCTTCCCTCCCCACCCGTGTCTCCCGAGCCTGTTCTTTGTCACCTGCCTTCCTGAGTCAGCCTCAGACCCGGTGCCAGAGGACACAGGCCCCCCTCGGCCCTCCCAGCGCCGGGCTCCAAACACCACGTCCCTGCTCCCGCACCGTCCTTCTGACTGCATCCTCTGTCCCTCGACCGTGGCGAAGGCTCAAGAAGCAGCAGCTGTAATTAGGAGAAGAGGGGCCACATTTGGACCCTGATGCCAAACTGCCTGGATTTGAATGCCAGCTCTGTGGGCTGCTGGGCACGCTTCTTGGCCTCTCTGGGCCTCAGTATTCTCATCTGGAAAACGGGGATCGTGACGTGGCCGCGTAGGGCTATCGTGGGGATGGAAGGACATATATGGTGTGTTACGGAAAGTCCTTGATTTGGGTTTATACAGATAAGATGGGTTTGGGGGAAGAATGGCGCAAAGGTGAGGTGTCCTCCTCATCACGTGGTACGCCGGAGGGACACCACCTGGGATGCTGACCTTCCTTACTTGGTTAAGGGGCGGGGGAGGGGGGACAGCCTTCTCCATCGCGAGGTAACCGTCTTCCCTTCCATGTGGAAGGGTCGCGAAGTTGAGCCCACACTCTAGGGGGGACGAGGGGACAGGGGCGCTCAGCTCCTGGTCTCCCGGAGACAGGAGTACACACTATTTGGAAATCTTCTGTGGGGAAGAGTTCCCTCCTCTCTGTTCCTTCATGTTATTCAGTCATTTGTACCGGCACGGACTCGTGTATATTTGCGTTGTAGTCGCATCCCACGTTATTTATTTTCTTACTCACATTCTTCCAGCTCGGGCCAGTAGCAGCTCCTCACGTCGGGCTCCTGTGTCTCTTTGACATGTCCCTATCTCTCTGTCTCTCTCTCTCTCTGTCTCTCTCTTTTTTTTTTGGACTACTTCCTTACTTTCTGGCACCTCAGATGCCCCAGCTCTAGAAGCAGCCGTTTCTCTGAGAAGCTCTGTTTCCTTTTATTGGAGAACGGTGTTTAGAAACCAAGATCTAGGCATATATAAGCAGCAGTAGCTTGTTACTGCCTCAGGGACTGGCTCACTAGCTCCTGCCCTGGGAAGCCTTTCCTGACCCCTACCACACAGGACCACCGCTGTTATACTGCTTCCTTCCAGGATGCTCTACCTCTCTGGTCTTTTCTGGGGGTTTGCCCCAGTCTTGGGCCCCATGCCTGACACCTGTCCCGGGAAGGTGTTTTGGGAAAAATGCCTGGCTCTGGGACAAGAGTCGGCGGGTGCTGAGAGCAGCCTCTCCAAGTAAGGGGCATGACCAACAAGCAGGTCGTTGGCACACACAGCGAGACGGAGAGAGAGCACAGCCGTAGGCCCAAGAGCGCCCTGAGCAGCTGCCTGTTCCTGGGCTGCAGACAGATGTCCGAGACGGTTTCTTGGGAACGCTGTGTCCCCACACGCTTGGGGCGGGGTCTCGCCCTCCAGAACAGTGCCTGGCTTCAGCCGGTTTGCCCTGCTCTGTTCCTCCTGTGGCCGCAGCCCTGATCCTCCAGATGGAGACTCCCTAGTGCCCGCCCAGAGCTATTTCTTCCCTCTGGGCCTTTGCCTGGGCTGTGCTCACCACCCGATGTGCCCTTTCTCCTCGCTGCCCTCCAGGCTGCTCGCCTACCTCTTAGCCAGCCTTAAAAGTCTCAGCTCAGGCCTCCCCTCCTCCAAGAACTCTTAGGTGACCCCTACACACACCCCAGGGAGAATGAGGTGTCACTCCTCCAAGCTTATCTCTGTTGGTCCACTTATCACATATTATAATTTACCCAACAAATATTTACTGAATGTCTGTCTACTGTGGGCCAGGCTCTGAGGGCAGAGTGGGGAGCGTGGCAACCAGCACTTGCTGAGTATTTCCATGTGCTCGCATCCAGCCCTTGCCTTTGTCCTGTTGGGTGGGTGCTGTCACCATCCTGGCGTTACAGGTGGGGCCGGCCAGGCTGCCCAGCCACACAGTGACAAAGCTGAAACTGGAATCCAGGCAGGCTGACTGCCTGGCCCGGGATCCTAGCCTCTAAATGCTTCCTCCCTTGACACAGACAACGGCCCTCCCTGGGCTTACCTTCTAAAGCAGGGGGCTGCTGATAAGCAAGCAGTTACCTAAAGATCATTTCCGATTTTGACCACATGCTGTCAGGGGATAAGCAGGTAGAAACGATCAAGTAACTGGGTAGGGAAGTGACTCTGCCTGGGGAGTGTGGGGCGGCAGGGCAGGGGTGGGGTGGGGGGGTGGTCTCAGAGCAGGTGAATCCTGAAGGATGAGGAGAAGCCACTTATGTGGCCAGCTGGTCAGAGAATATTCCAGACACAGGGGCCTTGAATTCAGAAACATCTTGGAATGCTGCTGGAGTGTAACAGACAAAGGGAGAAGACCAACATAGGGCGTTTGCGTTTCCTTCTGTGAGCGGCGAGGAGCCTCTGGAGGGTTCCGAGCAGGGGTATACCCTGGCCCGATTCACAGTTCAAACCATCGCCCTGACCGCTGTGCAGAGGAACATCCTACTAGAAGAAGAGGGGTAGCAGAGGCTCCTGCAGGAGGCACGCAGGGCCGGGCACTGGTGGCTTGAACCCTGTTGCGGGGGGAGCCTCAGTGATGGAGAGAGGAGGACTAGCCAGAGGCACGTTCTGGAAGGGGAGCATGGACAGGACGCTGCTCCAAGGCCCTTGCCACGCTGGGTCCCCCCCGCCACACGGTGAATGCCCAGGGCAGGACTCTCTTGTTCACCTCAGCTGTCCCCAACCCTGCACCTGCCTCAGTAAACACTTGTGGAGTGAAGAAATATGATTTCTTCCTGATTCCCCTTTCACAATTGAGGACATCGAAGCCCAGAGGTGGAGTAAGCCCAGGGTCAGCTCCCAGCTTGGATGTCCCAGCCTGCCCGGGAACCACCTCGTTCTGCCAGCGCAGGGGTGTGGGGGGTGTTAAAGGTGGAGGGAATGGCTTCCTAATGTCAACATCGGGGCAAATAACAGCTTACCTCATGGGGTTCCTGTGAGGATTGAATGAGAGAATGTACGCAGAACTCTGCAGCACTGGTCTGGCCCCTAAAAGTGGCATGGTCCGTGTTTCCAAATCCAGGGCTTGGAAGACAATATTGCATTTTGGTGGCTGTTTCTGCACTTCCTGTTTTTAATAAAACAAGAAAAACAAAACCAAACCATGCAAAGACATTTGTAAAGCTATTCCTGAGACCCGAGGACACACTTATAGACAGAATAGAGCACGATGACCTCACGTGGACACGTCCTCCCGATCCCACGGGATCGTGGGATCCCATGAGAGCCATGACTCTTCCCCTCCCATCCATTCTGCAGCAAAGCCCAGACTCCAGGGTCTTTCACCCATAAAAAGCTCAGAATGTATCTGCAAGAGAGAAAGGCTTTTTTTTTTTTTTAAACCAAACCACAATGCCATTATCCCACCTGAAAAAAAATTTGACAATAATTCTTCAGTACCATCAACTGTCCAGTCATGTCCACGCTCATAAATGTCCCACCTTTTTGCTTGTTTGCATGTGTGAATCAGCATCCAATTAAAGGCAGCACGTGGTGATTGCGATCCAAGTCTTTAAAGTTTCTGTTCATCTGTAGGTTGTCTCCCCTTTCCCCTCTCACAAGGTGTTTGTGGAAGGAACTGGGGTGTTTATCCTGTTGCATTCCCCAAGGTCTGGATTTTGCAGGTTGACTTTTCTTTGGTGTCTTTGAACCTGTTCGTCTATCTCCAGTATTTCCTATGAATGGTGGTTAGAGACAGATGCTCGGTCCTGTTCGGGGAGGATTTTTATGTTTTATTAGCAAGGCCACCTCCTCAGAAAGCCTGTGCTCTTCCATCAGGAGAGAAGCACTGGCCACCACCAGTGGGTGTTGCCCAAAGCCATTAATTCATCCGGGGTGCAAAATGTTGATCCATTCACTGCCTCTCCAAGGATTAGCTGGGTCAAACCAGAACTGTTTTAACAGCTATATGACAAGAAGAAAAAAAAAGAAGTCAAATGGAGGGAGCCATAGATTAGAAGAAACTTGAAAGACCTATCAACCAATTGCATGTTAACCTCATTTGGATCCCGATTTAAACAAATAAATTGTAAAAACAAAAATCGACATGTAGGAGACGGTTAGAGCTTTGAACTGAATATTTAACAATATTAAGGAATTTTTGTTAGTTATGTTTAACATGGTAATAGCAGTATTTTTAAAAGAGTTCTTACTTTTCAAGATACATCTGGAAATGTTTACAGACAAAATCATGACGTCTGAGATTTGCTTGAGAATAATATGGAAGGGAGATGGGGCTGGGCGGATAGAGATGAAGCACATTAGTGGTCCCGCCGTGATGATTCTTGAAGCTGGTGGTGGACTTCACTGTCTTGACTTTTTTTGTGTTTGAAATGTTCCATATCCAAAAAAGTCTTTTTTTAACTGAATTCTTTGAAACTAAAGAATACCATTGCTACTGCTGTGAGCATCTTTATGGAAACGTTTCTTGTGGTAGTTGACTTATTTCCTTAGGAAACATTTCCAGGACATAAGAGAGGACCCTGTATAGGGTCCCACACTCCTCCTTATAAAGCTGTGTCCTTCCTTGGCTTCTGGGGGGCCCTCTCCTGATTCATCCCCTCTCCAACCCACCGTGTCAGCCACTTCCCTCTCTGAGTTCCTGGCTTAGCCAGCACACCTGGCTGGATTCTGGGGCTCCCCTCCACTATGTGTCCTGGACAGCAGACGGTCAGGGAGGCACTGGCTGGGGTGGGCCCTGCTCTTTGGCTGATGGTGTTTCTTTTAGGAACTTTACATCCATCTTCCACCCGGATTATGGCAACTGCTACATCTTCAACTGGGGCATGACAGAGAAGGCGCTCCCTTCGGCCAACCCCGGAGCTGAGTTTGGTAAGTCTTGGTTCATCCTGGGGCTGGAGTCGTGGGGCTTGAAATCCCCACCTCGTGGGGCTAGAAGACCCAGTGACCATGAGCTGTCAAGGGGGAGGGCCGGGATTAGACAAGAGGTGGCCCACGGAGGGGCGGCCACAGTTGGGCCTCTTCTGTGTGTGGGGAGCCGTTCTGTTGTCCCTTCAAAATGAACAACCCCTTTTAAATTTTTAAAAAGAAAGGAAGAGTTTTATTGGAGCCCAAGTTAGGAGAGCTGCTGGGGATACATAGTCTTCACAAGGAAGAGAGCGCTCTGGGAAAGGAATGTTTGGAGGAGGATTATATATGGTTTTTACATAAAGGTTATAAACCATCATGACCAAGGCCATGCCGGAAAGTTACAGACTTTATCTTATGCTTTTAGTGTGTTCAAGGCTGTATGACTTTGATTTTATGGGAACCAATGTTTGGGTTTTTTTTTTTCCCTTATGTTTGGAATGCTTTTTGATTATTTGTTTTAACAAAGGAGATGTACAATGTGTGCTGCTCAGGGCGGAAATAGAGCCTCTGAGGTTTTGATGGAGTCATTTTGACCTTGGTAAATGTTAAACTATAGCTTCTCTGAGCGGGGCCCACGAATGCTAGAAATTGAAAATCTCCTTTATGATCCTCCCAGAGCTCCCATAAACGCCTGGGCTAGAGACCAGTGCTCCCATTTTGCTGCTGAGCCCAAGCTCCTGGGCCCGGGGGGAAACCCCAGCTCCACCACTGACCCCCCGGGTGAGCCTGAGCTCAAGACTGAACTTCTGGAAGCCATGTTTTCCCCGTTCAAAAACAGTATATGATAGCCTAGGAGAGCCTATTGTGTGCACCTCACAGTATCATCGTGACATGAGGCCGTCACCCACGTAGCACAGTGGCTGGCAAGTCCTGCGTGCTCAGTATATGCTGAATATTCTTTGGAGGCTTAAAGAACTTGCCCAAGAGCACCCATCTGACCTGCAGCAGAGCCCGTACTTTTACTGAGCCTCATTGCGGTGCGGTTCTTGAACGAGACAGAGAGGGGGTGGAGTAAACAGAAGCGAGAAGCGGTCGATGAGAGAGGCCACTGTGTTGGCCCGTCTCTGGGGAAAGACTCATGGTGGCCTCAGGGTGGCTTTGGCGATCCTCCCTCCCCTACCCCACAACTTCTGGCCTCCCCAGCCTCTGGGAGGCAGGCTGTCATTCTAAGTCTCAGGGCTGTTGGTCAAGAGGGGTGCAGAGGGGATGCTGACCGCCCATCACCCAGCCCCTGTGCCCCTGAGATCACTGTGTATCACAGAGGTGCCAGTCACCTCACCTTACTTCACAGGGGCAGATGGTTAGGACTAAGGAGCTCAGCTGCCTGTGTTAGAACCCCAACAATGCCCCCTTCTTTGCTGGGTGACCCTGGACAAGTCCTTTCCCTTCTCTGTGCCTCAGTTTGCTCACCTGTAAAATGGGGATTATAATAATACCTTTGCTCTTGTGAGCACAGTGAGATTGTGTATAATAAAGCACTTGGCCCAGCACTCAGCACGTAGCAGGTGCTCGATGAATGGTAGCCTGTTGTCCTAGCCACTCAGCACAGCCCTATGGTGGTGCCTAAGTCTCTGCCTTCAAGAAGGGAACCATCCGGGGGGGGGGGGAAGGAAGACAGACAATAAAAGATTCATATAAGTGAGGTACATACTTGGGAGGAATATTTCCAGAGCTAGGAGACCTACTCTTGGTAGTCAGGGAAGGCTTCTGGAGGAAGTGACACTTGGGCTGAGATCCAAAGGAAGAGCAGGAGGTTCTAAGTGAAGGGTAAAGGGGGCGGGGACATGATCCCAGCGAAAGGGAACAGCATTCTTGAGGCAATAGCATTTGCGAAGGCCCAGCAGCAGCAAGGAGCACAGAAGCCAACAGGGATTGAATGATGAGAACGAGGACTCATAAGATTTGAGGTGGGGCAGGGCAGTCCTGCACCCCTGGATCTACCTGCCACGTGGAAAGAGCTTGTGGGGCTGGGTGGGGAGGGAGAGACAGGGTGGCTTGGGCTAGGAAGGGGGCCTTGGAGAAGGCAAGAAGTCTCAATTTTCTCGAGGGGCAGCCAGTTTCCTGCGTGGGCCCTAGAGGTCTCCTTGGCTGGGTGGGGAGGGGGCCTGGACAGGTGGATGTGATGGGGAGCGAATTCAGGCAGCCCTCGGCCCCACCTTCCCACAGGCCTGAAGCTGATCCTGGACATAGGCCAGGAGGACTACGTGCCCTTCCTCACGTCCACGGCCGGTGCCCGCCTGCTGCTTCATGGGCAGAGGTCCTACCCCTTCATCAAAGACGAGGGCATCTACGCCATGTCAGGGACAGAGACATCCATCGGGGTGCTGGTGGTATGGCCACAGCCCGAGGACAGCCTGAGGGGGGCTGAGGGTGGAAGCTTCCCTCACGGCCCATTCCCGCCTTGTCTTCGGGCTGGAACCCCGACCAGGGCCAGCATGCTCTGGCGGAAGGTGGGCACGCTCTGGCACCTACTGGGGCCCATGGCATCCCCACCGACTCCCGTGGTGCTTGCTGGGGGGGAGGTACACATGGAGCAACCTCTCTGGACACAGGACAAGCTGGAGCGCAAGGGGGAGCCCTACAGCCAGTGCACCATGAACGGCTCCGACGTCCCTGTACGGAACCTCTACAGCGACTACAACACCACCTACTCTATCCAGGTGGGAAGACAGTGCGGGCCGCGGGGACCCTGGCAGTCCGCATCTACCAGACCCGAGGCCTCAGGGCTCTGGGGGAGCTGGTCCTGGCAGGACGGGCTGTACTGGATTTTTGTGGGTGACCGCAGGGTGGTTTGGTGGGTTTTGTGGCCTTTGGGGCTGGAGAGCCAGTCCCGTCCCTGGGTGCCCACCAGGGCCCGGGACCGGCCACTGCTCATCCCCACTCGGCAGCTGTGCCCATGGGGATGCCCAAAACACATGGATCTCACTCTGGGGTCTCCCAAAAAGAATGCTTATGTGGGAGAGATGCTGTGCTAAGGGCTGGCCCGTGTTACATCATCCTGTGATCCTGTGTACACCCCACGGGGTGGTAGTAGCATTTATTAATATACTAACAATAGCATTTATTATATATATATGTATATATAGTTTACTTGTTATAAGTACTGATATACGGAGAGGAGCAGGCTCATCATGTGCTAGGCAGGCCCTGTTGCAGGTGCTTTACATACAGTGATTCATTTAATCCTCACAGCGATGCTAAGATGTAGATAGTATTACTAGGAAGGAGGAAATCGGGGTGTACAGGGCCCAGTACAAAGGGCTCAGCGACTTAGCTGAGAAGTCCCTCTTTGTATCCGGCCTCGATCCCCCTTGCTGCAGCTGGGGCTTCCCTCTCACCGTGACCTCCAGGGGCAGCCCGGGGGGCCTGTCCTGAGACCCAGCCCCGTGGAGAAAACCGTCTAAAGCCTCTGCACAGGTGACGAACGTGACCTCTGGCTGACACTTCTTCCCCAGCCCGGGTGGCCTTGGCAGATAAGGAAGCTGAGGCATGACGGGGGGCAGTCTAGGGCCTGCTTCTGTGCCTGTTAGCCCTGAGCATGGTGTGGGCTTCCCTTTTGCCTGGAAATCCCACCGCCCCCTGCCCACCCTCCTGCCCACCCCGTCCAGCTGACCTGTGCGCCCCACACCCTGACCCGGCTGGTTTGGCCGCCTTCTATCTGGAGGGGCTTCTGCCTGCAGTGGGGAACTTGGGGGAAGCTTCCGAGCTAATGAAGGGATAGACAGCCAAGCAGCACAGGGAGGTGGGGAGCACGGAGAGGGAGGCCACAGAGGCATCCATCAGGCTCAGTCTTAGAGACCTCATTCCAGAAAAAGCTCAGCTCTTGCTTCATCCGGTGCAGCCGCCCCTCTGGCCAGAGACCTTGGCAAAGACCCAGGCCCTGGTCGGGTGCTCTGCTTGCACCCCCCCAACCCCCAGCCTCTGTCGTGGGGCCTAGAGAGGACTCCTCCTTCCCAGGTGAGACAGTGAGGCCTGGAAGAATGTGAGACCCCAGCCCAAAGTCAGAGCTCCTCGTCCGACCCCGCTGGCCCCCTCATCCCTGCTCTGCTCCTCCCAGCTGGGCCCGCAGGGAGGCCACAGCCCTGTCAGGGAGAACAGGACAGGGCCTGCTAGGCTGCAGAGGAGCAGCGCTGGGAGTGGGAGTAGCTGGGACGGAGTGGGCTGGCTCTGTGGCCGGCGGGGCAGAGCCCAGAGCAGGGGATAGCAAAGGTTGGAGCGAGGGCTCCTCCACACGCAGGACTCGGGAAGCTGGGACAAGCAGAGACACAGGAGTACCAGCCGCTTCAATTCCCCATGCGGTGCCAGGCCCTCCTGACCTTAGCCCACAGGGGCGACCGTCACCCTGCTCCACCTGTGAGTGACCGCAATTGGCCTCCGAGGGCGCTGGAACCAGGTTGGGGTGACCTGAAACCCCAGCACGAGAGTCATCCCACGCAGACTCCAAGGCGCCAAATCCACTCTTCCTCCCCCTGTCCCCATGAGGGGACACTCTTCCCCATCAAGGCTGGCAGCCCCATTAATGAGACCTATCGAAGGTTGGCTACAGTATTGGGACCAAGCCACCCCTCCCCATGTCCTGTGTGGGGCTCCGGCTCTGCAGGGTGGGGTCCTCAGAGAGCTGGGTCTGGCCTGAGTCCCTCCGCGGGGACCAGGCACCGAGCAGGACAGCCACGCCCTGGCTGCGGGGGCCAGGAGGTGTAGCTCCTCAGCCGGGGAGACCCCTCCCCTGGCTCCCCGGGCCTCGGCATTACCTCCCCCGGGGCCCCTACCCCCGGGGCTGGGACGGGGCATGGCAGTCATGGCCATATTCTCCCGCCCTCCCACCGCAGGCCTGTATTCGCTCCTGCTTCCAAGAGCACATGATCCAGAACTGCAGCTGTGCCCACTTCCTGTACCCACTGCCCCATGGGGAGAGATACTGCAACAACCGCGAGTTCCCAGACTGGGGTGAGTGCAGAGCCCCGGGCACTGGCGCCCTGGGCCGGCTGGGGCTCGGACTGCAAAGCTGGGGGTGGGGGGGGTGGGGGCAGAGCTCCACGTACTCAGCAGGGCGGGGGGGTGGGGCCAGGCCTGTGCCTCCACGGCCTGCAGCCCCCCTCCGCCCCAGCCCCCCTCCCGCCTGTGTATGTGTGCCCCGTAAACGCCTGCACACGCATGAGCTTGGCGTGCAGCAGCTGGCGAGGGCACACGGGAGAGGGCATTTGTATGCTCGTGTCTTAATGCACAGGAGAACTCGGGACCAGGTCTGCACGTGTGTTCATACATGGGCGTGGATGGCTTCCATTGTTTGCATCTGTGCACGCTGGTTCGTGTGCCCACAGTGTGTGCGCACATGTGCCCACAATGCCACACGTATGAGCCTCAGCATGCGTGTCTGTGTGAGCTCACTGGGTCTCTCCGTGGGGTGCTGGGTGGGAAGGGAGACTGAGGTGGCCTCCAAGAGTCTGAGGCCCGAAGCCACAGAAGTAGGAACCCTGGCATCCAAACATGATGGATGTTGTCGGAGGCAGGGAGAGTCCCACCACCTCATAAAACCAATGAAATATGTAGCCAAGAGGGGGAAACCATCCCTTTGGACCACCCATCCCTTCATGCATGACCCCATCACCCTGCCCCCCAGCCCTGAGTGGGGATGAGAGAGGGAAAGCTGCTCTCATCCTGCTGAGCTGAGTCTGGGCTGTTTGGGGAGAGGGTCCCCCAGGCCAGGCTGGGGCAAAATGGCTGGACATGGGGGGTGCAGGGGGGGAAGGGATGACCCTCCATGGCAGGAGAGCTTGGGCAGAGACAGCTCCCCCTCCCACCGAACCACCGTCCTTGGGTGGCCATGGTCAGGAGGGCAGGGGGCAGCTGGAGGCTCAAAGTGGGAGAGGAAAACATCTAGAAACCCCCTCCTTTAAGTCTCCCCCGCCCCTCCCCGTCTTGCTCAGCCTATTGTTACTCACACCTGCGCATGAATGTGGCCCAGAGGGAAACCTGCATCAACATGTGCAAGGAGTCCTGCAAGTGAGTGGGGGGCATGGAGACTGGGGGTCAGGGGTGGGGGTGCGGAGACTCGGCGGGGGGCAGGGGTGGGGAGCAGTGCTGGCAAGGACAGCGACAGCCACAGAGCTGCCTTCTCTCTTCCAGTGACACCCAGTACAAGATGACCATCTCCATGGCCGACTGGCCCTCTGAGGCATCTGAGGTGAGGTGGTGGAGTGGCCAAGCTCCTGGCCGCCCACCTTTGGGCTGGGGGACAGCTCTGGGCACAGGTCTGCAGGCTGTCTGTCCCCCCAGCCGTGTCTCCCAAGGCGCTGTGCTGGGGACACAGCAATGAAGGAGAGGCACAGCCCTTTGCTCTTAGGGAGCTTACATTCTAGTAGGGGAGACAGACAACATGCAGAAATTGGATCATTTCAAAGTGTGATAATGGCAGAAAGTAGATAGGATGAGCGCAGAGTAACCAGGGCAAACCCCTTTAGACAGAGCGGTCAGGGAAGACCTCCCCGCAAAGGCGACGTGTGAGTGAAAGCGGCAGGCGCCGAGCCAGCCTGGGCAGGGCTGGGGAGGACCATCCAGACAGAGGGACGGCACCTGCAAGGGCCAGAGGTGGGAAAGACGCGGCGCAGGATGGCTGGGCCTCTGGGGGAAGCGTCTGGAGCCCAGAGGGCCTTCTCCCAACAGCAGCAGCCAGGGGGCACCATTACCTTCCTCCTCTCTGTGCCAACACACGGTCCCCAGGCCTTTGGGAAGCTTTGGGGCTGTGTCCCTGACCTGTAGTAGGGCCCATGATTGGGAGGGGGTGCTGGAGGTGCCATTTTTTTTCAGCTGCCTTCTTGGATTCCAGGATTGGATTTTCCACGTCCTGTCTCAGGAGCGGGACCAAAGCACCAATATCACTTTGAGCAGGTGAGCCTAGAGTCTGGGTGGGGCTGGGGAATGCGCAAAATGGGAGGAACCAGAGCCTCAAGGGAGGGGTTTGGATATAGGGCAGCTCCTCAGACACCTTCTCACACTGGTCAGATCCAGGAGGAGGCCTTGAAGGATGAGGCACTGGGAATGAGAGAGAAGCCAGTGAATGGAATTCAGGGTCAACCACTTCCCAAAGGAGAGCCTGTTCTTCCATATGTCACCTGTTCACCCACCCACCCACCCATCCACCCATTCGTTCCTCCATTATTCATCCATCCTTCCACCCATCCATCTGTCCATTTGCTTGTCTATCCATCCATCCACCCATCCTCCAGCCAATTTTCCTCCCATCCATCTATATCCATTCACCCATCCAGCCATTCATCCCCCCATCATCCACTCATCCATCCTTCCACTCATCCATCCATCCACTCATCCTCCACCCATTTCTCCATCTTTCTACCCATCAAAAACACAAACACGAATTGAGCACAGAAAAGACACAGGTCCATATTCTTGGGAAGCTCCAGTCTAGAGGACAAAAATATGCCAACAGGGCTTATGATGTTGAGAGTCTCTATAAGACCCTTCCTTTGGGAGCACAGCAGGGAAGAAGCTATCTGCCTGAGAGATAAGGGAGGTCTGTAGAGGGAGCTGACACTTGAGCTACCTCTCCAAGGAGGAGCAGGAACTGTTTAAATAAGAGGCAAAGATGTTCAGGCAGAAGACTGGAGGTGTGAGAGAGCATAACTTTTCTGAGGACTATCAGGTGCAAAGGGGAAACCGACATGGCCAACTCTCTGTGCCCCAGGTCCCCCTGATAAAGAAGCAAGAATTAGGACTCTATCCAGAGCCTACTGTTTATGGGCTGGGCCCCTCTGGGGGGTGGGAGAAGGGAGCTCAGAGGCAGTCTTCGGGGCCCCCCAGAAGGATGCTGGGCAAAGATGCTTTTCGTGGCCCCAAGGCCCAGAGGGGACAGGAAGGGCCGCACTTTGGGCTCTTGCTTGGACCTCAGCCCTCCTGGGAGTAAACATGTGAGAAGCTCAAGGCAGAGGACTGCCCCTTGGCTGCCTTTCGTGTTTGTGTGTGTGCATGCGCACGCATGCACGAGTGTGTCCCAGGGAGGGGGCACCAGCCCTTCTTGCTGTTTCTACAGGAAGGGAGCTGTCAAGCTCAACATCTACTTCCAAGAATTCAACTATCGTACCATTGAGGAGTCAGCAGCCAATAACGTGAGTCTGGGTGCTCCCAACTCTCAACCCTGCCCTGCTGCCCCTCCATCCTGCACACTGAAGGTGGGGAGGGCCCCGAGCCCAACAGGGGAATTAGAATGGTTTCCCTGGGTTGAGATGGTCACCCTGTTCCCCTTTCTGGCCAACAGCCCCCCTCCCGGGAAGCCATGAGGCAGGGCTCAAGGCAGGAATCTGTGGCCCGACCCCCACCAGGCTGTTCACCCTCTGCTCTCCACAGATTGTTTGGCTGCTCTCAAACCTGGGCGGCCAGTTTGGCTTCTGGATGGGGGGCTCGGTGCTGTGCCTCATCGAATTTGGAGAGATCCTCATCGACTTTGTGTGGATCACCATCATCAAGCTGGTGGCCTTCGCCAAGAGTCTGCGGCAGAGGCGGGCCCAGGCTCGCTATGCGGGCCCGCCGCCCACTGTGGCTGAGCTGGTGGAGGCTCACACCAACTTTGGCTTCCAGCCTGATGTGGCCAGGCCTGGCCCCGACCCCGGGACCTACCCTGATGAGCAGACCCTGCCCATCCCGGGCACCCCACCTCCCAACTATGACTCCCTCCGTCTGCAGCCGCTGGACGTCATCGAGTCTGACAGTGAGGGCGATGCCATCTAGACCTGGGGAGCCCAGAACTCAGACCCAAGAAGCCGAGATCATGGCCTCGGGCTTCACTTCGGGGTGCAATCTCCAAAGGGCCAGGATGACGGGAATCCGAGGCCACAGTCTATGTGTGTCCCTCTACAGAGAGACCAGCAGCTCCTGGCCAGTCCCAGGCCAAGGGCTCTGTAGGGTCACGGTGCAGGTATGGATGTGGGTAATGTGTACTCATTTGGTTCCTGCCTACACCCCCAACCTGACCTGATCCTTGGCTGGGACATCCCCAGCTTGGCTCCGGAGAGCCTGGAACACTGTCCCCCGCAAACAGGCTAGTTTTTCCCAGTGCCAGTCACCATCTGCTCTCAAGACAAAGAGCCAGGCATGCTGTGCTGTCTGTCCTCAGAACCTCTCCATCCTGGCCTTGGCAGGCCTCTGCCAATGGGTTTAGTGAAGGCAGCAACTGTGGAGAGCAGGAAGAGCATCAGGCCCAGGGGCGGGGTTGGGGGACCTGCTGCCAGGTCCTAGAAAATAAAAGTTCTAGAAAATAAAAGTAGAACACACAGAGCTGAGCTTTGTTCTTTGTCGGACGGGGCAGTCGGAGTGCACTGGTGCACAAGTGGGCTTGTGACTTACTCAGTGCCATCCACCGTACTACTTCTTTGGGTTGCAAGGACAGAGAGAAATAGACTCAAGCTGGCTTAAGTGAAAGAATCTCCAGCTCAAACGGTGTCTCTCGGTCTCTGCTTTCCTCAGGCTCTCCTCACATTGAAAGCCCGCCTGCGGGTCCAAACTCACTGTGTCTCCAGCTCAGCAAACAGCTAGGAGGAAGTACCTCTTCCCCAGTTGTCTCTGCAAGTTCCTAGGCTGACTCTCATTGGTCACTGATTGGGTCACATGTGTATCTCTGAACCAATCAGTGTGATAGGCTGCTTGGATTGGTCAGACTCTGCCCATATCTGAGGCCAGGTGGCCCCCAGCAGAATCACGTGCCCCAGGGGATAGGGACATGGCTCCAAGCATTGCCAGATAAAATACAGGTCCTCAAGTTAAATATGAATTTCAGATAAACAACGAATTGATTTTTTAGTATCAGTACATCTGCATAATATTTGGGACAGGGGCGTCTGGGTGGCTCAGTAGGTTAAGCGACCAACTCTTGATTTCAGCTCAGGTCATGATCTCAGAGTCATGAGACTGAGCCCCGTATGGGGCTCCTCGCTCAGTGTGGAGCCTGCTTCAGATTCTCTTTCCTTCTCCCTCTGTCCCACCCCCACCCATGCATGCATGTGCACTCCCTAAACAAAACTGTTTTTAAAATTAAGGGGTATCCGGGACATAGGATGTTAATAAAATCATCTGTTGTTTTTCTGAAATTCAAATTTAACTGAGTGTCCTGTATTTTTAGTTGCTAAGTATGGGAACCCTGACGGCTCTCCAAAGAGAGACCAGGAAGCTGTTTCCCAAGAAGAATGGGACCTGCCAGGTGCAGGGAGCTGACCACCTGCCTTCCCTGGTCGTGAAGCGGCTCTGGCTGTAGAGCCTGGATGTCTGAGGGCCCAGCCCTGCTGGTGGAGAACACCTGGGCCCTTGGCTGGAAAGGCAAACAAGCAGGCCTCCCATTAAGTGCCCACAGTGGCACCTGTAGGGGAAGGTGGTGCCACAGACTTGGTGCCACTCCAGCCAAAGGCAGCACTGGGAGGGATTGTGTGGGGAGGGCCTGGGGGAAGAGGGTTTCCCAGCTCGGGGCCAGGCAGGTCTGCAGGCTGGAGTCCAGTTCTTGGTGGTTACCGCACCAACTCCCATGACTACTACTTTCATTATTAGTGATAGTTGTCATCACACTATTATTAGTTGTTGTTATCATCAAACAATGGCTACATTGTATCAAACACTTACCACACACTTACCAGACCAAGTCCTTTGCAAGTCTTTTTCCAATTAATTCTCAGAATTACCAAGAAGTATTACCATCCCATCTTAAGGGTAAGTAAATTGAGACTCAGGTGAAGTCGGATGCTCCAGATCACTCTTCCAGTAAGTGACGAAGGTAAAACTCCAGCCTCATCCCCTGGCTGCCGGTGGTCACAAGAATACCAGTCCCGTATAGGAGCCCAGAGCTTTCACATTTATGGTCTCATCTGAAGTTGTGGGGCAGGCAGAGCAATGGTTATTAGTGAGCTCCCTTTGCCAGCTCTTTGGTCACACTAATTCGAGCTGACTTAAGCTAAAAAAAGGGAATCCATTGGTTCTTGTAATAAAAGTCCAGGGATTTCAGGTATGGCTGTATCCAGGGGTTCATAGATCTGGTGATTTCCCCAGGTCCGGGCTTTCTTTTCTTCCATATTGATGTCCCTCTCAAACAGGTCCCCTCCGTGTACTGCTCTTCACCCCACAGCTCCAAGCTCCATTCCCTCAGCCCAGCAACTATAGAGTGGGAAGAAAGCTCTTCCTTCACAGTGTCCCAGCAAAAGCCCCGAGAATGAGGGTCACTGAATCAGCCCGGGCCACATACTCATCCTGAACTGGGAGAGGCATCTGAAGCAGGAGTGGGAAGAGGGTACTTGTTACCCCCTTTGTACCTCACTGGCTCTTCAAATAACCCTGATTAGGTTCCACTATGGCTCTTGTCTTTCACAAGAGGAAATGAGGCTCAGAGAGGTGAAGCGACTCCCCAAGGTCACACAGTCAGGAGGTGGTGAAGCCAGGAATCAAACAGCTCTCCTGGACACCGGCACAAAGGTCACCCCAAAGAGATTTCCACTTTCCACAACACATTCCGCCTTCCAGGTTTCCGGCTCTTACTTCTTCAAGGCAGAAGCCAGCCTCGATCCCTGCCAGGGACAGTCCGTGATCCACCGCATGAGAAACCAAAATATTTTTCTTGGTGCGGGTTCTTTCGGGGCCAGCAAAACTGGTTCCAAGGATGTGGGGACAGAACGCGTGGGAACCCCTGGATGACAAGGCCAGCACGACACCGGCCCCAGCAGCCTGCAGGGGCTGGTTCCCGAGAAGCCGTGGGCGCAACAGTGCCACTCTGGAGGGCTAGCACGAGCCGGCTCTCCCGGGCGGGACTCGGTGTCGTGCGCTCACCTCGCGCCCCGCGGTCAGGAGCGTGGGCACCACGGGTACCAGTGACTCCAGGCAAGCCCCTAAGCCTCCCACACCTCAGTTCCTTTGTGTGTAAGATGGGGATAATCCCTGAGGCCATTGAAAGGCATCAGAGAGAGAAGTAAGGCTTATGCAGCAGCGGGAACACACGACACATCAATTCCAATAAAGGACCCCGACAGACACGGTGGTGCCCTCCTTCTCCCTTGCTAACAGAAACCCAGCCTGCTCACGGCACCAGTGCTCCGGGCCCAGGCAATAAATCCTGCCTGGTCTACACCAGGGTTTCCATGCTGGAGGGGAGTCTGGCCCCCGGGCAAGGTCTGGAGACCTTTCTGCTGTCCCAGCTGGGGAGTGCCACCGGCATCCAGTGGACAGAGGTCAGGGATACCGCTGAATGCCCATCGACCAGCCTGCTAAAAACGACAGGAGTGCAGAGGCTGAGAACCCCAAATGAAGGCGGTCCTGTTCCCCACGCTCCCAGCCTCGCTTGCAGCTGGGAGGATGCCGGTGACCAAGAACTGGCCAGGGAGACCGAGGAGAAAGCCACGGGGGCCCCTGGGGAGCCCTTTGCCTGCAGGGTGGAAGGGACAGTGCCCCCTCTGCCTTTGTCTCCCCGTACACCGTGTGATGCCTGCAGCTGCAAGAGTCGCCCCACCGGGAGGAAGCAGCCGGCACACACAGAAAAGGTCAAGATCACGGGGAGGCTGGTCCTGGTCCTGACTCCTCCAGCCACTGAGTCAGTGCCCACAGCCAGGACCGTGGGACTTCTCGATCTTGAGAAAGCTCAACTCCTATTTGCTTGAGTCACTCAAATTACATTATTCTGTTCATCTTAACAGATAGAGAAGCTACTGGCAAAAAACCTGATAGAGTCCACATCATCCCGTGAGTTTTCAAATAAGACAAAATAAAAGCCTGAGTCCTCATCACGGCCGACAGGCTGGTCCATGATCTGGCCCCCAGCTCCCGTCTGACCTGATTTCCTACTTCCATGCTGCTGACCTTGGACGTGCCCCAGGGCCTGGTCCGCGCTGGTCCCTCACTGCCATGCAGTGAGGCTCTGATCTGTGAGTCCGGGGGCTGCCCTCCACCCTGATGCCACCATCCGACATCATCATCTTTGTTGGTTTCTCTGGTGATTTCCCCCCTCCTTCCCGGCCCGTGTCCCAGTGTGTGGAGCACAGCTCATGGGAGGCACCCAGATATTCACTGAGCAAAGGAAAGAAAACAGCCTTCTTTCATTTCACGGTATTTATCAATTCCATTTTCAAGATCGGATCATTTAGAAAATCATCTGAAAAGTCTGCTCTAATAAATAATATGTCTCTAATTTATAACCCCCCCACCCTTTTTTTGATTATACAAATGAACCAAGTCTTTTGGAAATGAATCCTCCCAATCCCAGGCAGAATTTTTGAGCAAATCTATTCTGCAGAGCTGCTGTGACCCCTGAACCCCAGCCCTGGGCCTCTTCTCAACCAGGTACAGGCGTGGGGGGAGATGGTCAGTAGTCCACGTTCCGCATGTTAGCCACTGTGGTGGCCAGGCGCCGGGGCAGGCCTTTGCTGACCTGCCTGTAGTCCTCAGGTTTGGTCTTCAAGAGTGTCACGATGTTCTGAAGGGTGCGGGATGGCTGCAGGCCCAGGGCATCCATCACGTTGATCAGGTAGTCTGTAGGGATGGGGAGCACGACAGACACAGCTCAACAGACTGAGTGCCAAGCTCACGGGATGATGTGGACTCTATCAAAGAAACTGAACAAAGAAATAGAGAAGTCCACCCCGAACCCCCAAAATGCCGGTTGCCTGCTCTGCCCCAAGCAGCCAGGCCTTTACTCTGAGGGCTTTTCCAAGAGGATTAAACCTACTGTCAGCTTAGGGGCGCCTGGGTGGCTCAATTGGTTGAGCGTCCAACTCTTGATTTCAGCTCAGGTCATGATCTCAGGGTCATGAGATCAAGCCCTGCATCAGGCTCCACACTCAGCACAGAGTCTGCCTGGGATTCTCTTTCTCCCTCTCCCTCTGCCCCTCCTCCCTGCTTGCATGTGCTTGCTCTCGCTCTCTCTTTCAAATAAACAAAATCTTTAAAGAAGGAGAGGAAGAAAGAAAGAAGAGAAAAAAAAACAAAACAACTGTCAGCTTGGCCTGAATCAGGAATTCTAATTGAATAAAGGACTAGCTATCCCCCACCACCCACTACACACTCAGTTCTCCAGCTGGACCAGCTCACCCCTTCAAAGCTCTACACTAGGACTCCTGAGTTATTGGCCACACTCCCCAGCGGGCCCCACTGACCACATGGAGACCCTGAGCAGTCAGGTGACATGTGGGCTTATATGAGCAGCGACCAAGAGCTCCCAGCCCAAGCCCCCCATGAAGACAAGGACCGTGTCTGAGGCGGGGGCCTGGTGAGCTGCAGGTTCTCACACTTCCCATTTCTCCCCGTGGGGTCCTAGTTAGAGACAGATTCCCAAGCCCACCCTAGACCACGTCGGTGAGAATCCAAGAGAGAGTTCAAGGACCCTGTCCTTCTAATAAGAGCCCCACGACTCTAACCACCAGGCAAGCTTGGGCAACACCGGCAGAGCGGGGAAGGCGAAAACTGGTTTCCAAGGTTGGGGTGAGCCTGGTGAACCCCTCTTCTCTGAGTCCCTGCGTCCATCCGTCAATGCTGCATTGTCAAGAGGATGAAATGGACCAAAGGCCACGGGAGCACCTGATGTATCACAGGTGGTAAGAGTGCTGCCCTGGGCAGGTCCAAGCCAGATGTGAGGGGAGCACCCTGCAGCGTCCTCTGGCTCCACCTTCATCCTGCCCTCCCAAGGGTGGCAGACGGCACCCCGCAGCAGGCCCCTGCTGACCTTCTGTCCACGGCCCTGGCCGAATGGACCGCGGCTCCAGCCATGGCCGGCATCTTCCTTCATTTCTTCTGGAGGCCTGGCTCAGGGCAGGGCCCACGGGAGGTGTCTGCTCTGCCCTGGCGGGCGGGCTGACTCATGTCCAACTCAGGCTGAGCAGCTTCCCAGAAAGGGCGCCAGCAGGCGGCCAGGCACCTGTCGCCTGCTCAAGTTTATCCATAAAACTGAGCTCCGCTCGACCGGAAGCCCGGAACTGTGAAGTGACAGCCCACGGTCTTCCATGACATTTTCTGTTTGGCCAGCACAGTTTTGGGTTTTGTTGTGAGGTTTCATTTGTCTTTAAGGTGGCCACAACCCCCCCCCCGCTCCCTACAGCGTAACCGCCTGGCACCCTCCCAGCCCCTGGCCACGCTCGCCAGCGCGGAAGCTCAGTAAGCCGGGGGGCCGGCTGGGGCTCCAAGCGCCGTGGCTGGCACATAGCGGCTGCTCCGTCAGTGCCGAACGGGGACCGGGCACCCAGGGGCAGCCGAACAGAGAGGGACAAATAATACGGGCCACTGGAATCTAGGGTCACCGGCCTGATCTCGCTCCTTCCAATTGCTTCTGTCCTCAGTGCTCCTGCCTGTACTAGCCGGCACCACCTACGGGCCCCCGAATCTCCTCCTCCTTCCTCCCCGAACACAGCCCAATGATGTGGTGAAAGCTGGCTTTCCTCTCTAACGGCTGCGAGCTGACTGTGAAGTCAGGACACCTGGATTCCAAGCCTGGCTCCATCACTGGCGGCCCCGGGACCTGGAGGAAAGCACCTCACTTCTATTTCTTCTGCAGCAAAGTAAGAGCCTGGTTTGGCCCTGTGGTTGTGCAGATCACAGCTCTGCCTGGATCCCCAGGGAGCTGATCTCTGAGGCTCCTACCAGACTCTCCCCAGCCACCCTGAGAGCTGCTTCAGGTAAAGAGCAGGCAGGTCAATGGAAGGGCACCAAGACACTGGGGCGACTCCCCTGCCACCTGCCTGTGGCACCCACAACCTCAGGGCCCCACCTGCGGGGGCAGGTGCCAGCAGGAGCCAGTGGGCATGTGCCCCTCCGACCTCGGGGGCATGTAGTAGGTATTGCAGGGAGCCGTGTGATTCAGCTGCCTCGGGCCTCTGTGTCCTTCCCAGCATGGGGGGTGGGGGGTGGGCTCCATCGTGCAGTGACCTCACGGGGGGGGCTCTGAAGGTGGCCGAAGATGTGGGTACGAGGGCTTGCTCGGCACCTGGCATGCCTCATGCATGGTGGCAGCCTAATCAGCGGCGGTTCGGGGAGGCAAGGCAGCAATGGTGAGTCTGTCGCACTCACTTCAACCCAGCTCACGGAAGCCCCGCTCAGGCGCAGCCTATCAGAATCCCCCAGGACGTTTTTCAGACTACAGACGTCCAGCCTTCAACCCAGACTTCCGAGTCAGAATCTCTGGGGAGGAGGCCTAGAGAATCCGCATTTTTAACCAGCTCGGCAGCCAAGCCCAGAGCTGGAGGGTAGGGGCACTGACAGATGCGATGGGCCACAGCCATCCCTCCCACTGCCCATCCTGGGGGCACTCACCCATGTCGGTGGCCAGCTGCTTGGTGGAGTGAGGCGTCAGCTCGGGGATGTGCAGGATCACGTCGCAGTAGGTCTGCATCGTGGCTCTGGCGATGGAGCCCAGCCAGTTGTCAGCCATGTTGTCCAGCTCGGGCAATTCGTCCCCTGGGAAGGGAGAGGAGGTCACCAGAGACAACGCACGTGCTCAGGAAAACCCCACCTCCAGCAGCTTTTGCCCTCCAGGCGGCCAGGCCCACGACGGGCGGTGCCGTATGCCCACACACGCCAGGGGGCCATGGTCCCGGTGGACAACACAGGGACAGAGAACAATTACGTCTTAGGCCAAGTGGTACTGACGGAGTATGAGGACGATTCAGGAGAGGACGCGGTCAGGTGAGGGAGAGCGATCTCTGCGTGCCCGAAGGCGGGGGACGCGGTGCAGCCACACAGGCCGGGAGGGAGGACAGGAGGGGGCCCCGTGAGAGGGCAGGCAGCCCACGCCAGCAGAGACAGCGACGCTCGACACACCGGCAGCACGTCAGAAGTGAGGCCCGGACGGGGCCATCCACCACGGACGAGCTGGGTGCGACCCGGCCTCTCAGAGCCCGACTCTGCGGGGCTGTGGCGGGAACCACGGGAGGCCTCGGCCTGGGCCTCAAGCATGAAGCGTGTGACACACTCTAGTGCTGCACACATGGTGACTCTCAGTGTCACATCACCTGTGGGGAAGAAGGAGTACGTATACCAAGCAGGGCTGGGGGAACAGGGCTGGGTCGTGGAGGGCGCCCTGAGAGTCACAGGGACCCCATGTCAGAGCAAACAGGCAGTGACTGTGGGTCCCCAGCAAGGTTGCGAGAACCAGTCAGGCTGGGGCGGGCTGATGCAGGAGGACGGAGCCGTCATCCTGGCCAGACAGGCCTTGAACTCTGGGGGCAAGGGGGCCGCCTGACATTAAAACAACAAAAAAAGTAGGGGGACGAGCAGAGAAAAAGAATCCATTTAGGAGAAGATAAGCAAAATGCCACTATACCACCACCACCACCAATAACAATAATAAAAATAATAATAATAATAACACAGAACATAAAGCTACACGTCAAATACCATCTGCACATGGGAAAATGTAAATACCATCGTGTTCAATGATGGGATGTCATGATTTATTCTTTTTAAAATTGTGACCTTGTTTTACATGTAGTATCTGTACAACAAACATGAACTAGAAAGTTAAAAACCAAAAACAGGATGAACATAACTGAGCAGAAGGCTAAGAACACGTGGTCTAGGGCTTCCACCCTGGAAACGGAGGCTGGCCCAGTGGTCGTGTGGCCAGAAACACGGCCAGGCACGGCAGCTTGTCCGGGGGATAAACCTCCTTCCCGAAGACATTGGCCCAGAAAAGGATGAACCTACCAGGCCTGGGCAGCACTGAGGGGTGGGGGATGAGGCGCCCACGCGGGACTGAGGGTGGAGGGCACTCGCTTACTTGCTAACCACACGAGTCCCATCCAAGACCCTGCCAGGTCTGCGCTGCCCCGGTCTGGGAGGCCCTGCCCCGACGGCACCCTCCGGCCGGGGGGCAGACAAGGCCCCTCCACACAGCCACATCAGGGCTGCAGCCAGGGCGTCGCCAAAGACTGATAGGAGCCCAGAAACGGGAGCTCACACCCGGGCTTCCCGAGCACAAGGGACAGTTTGTCGGATGCACAGGAGGAGAAAGGGCAGTCCAGGCAGACAGCACAAACACTGGTTTACAAAAGCGCCCAGGAGAAACGGCATGTGGGAGATGGTCCTGCTGCTGACTTACGTGTGCACACAGATCTGCAGAGAGAGGCGCCCCGGACAATCGCCCCTCAGGTGCTAGTGGGACTCTCGGGGCAGCAGATTTTTACTCAGAAAAGTTCTTAATTTTTAAAAATTAAGAAGAAAATCCTTCTGAGTGGCTGGAGTGTGAGCACGTGGGGGCAGACGATGGGCCGCATGCCCTGACTGGGTGGGATTGAGAAGGGTCTCCAACCCCAGGCCTGGGAGGGGCTGGATCTCACCCCATAGTTTCCAGGGGCCCTGGGGGTTTTTAAGCAGGTCAGGAATAATTAGTCTGAGGGCAAGGACAAGCAGCAAGAGATGGGAGCAAAATATACAAAATGCAGCAGAGAAAGGAAATCTCAAGAAGGAGGGGTGTTAAAAAGACAGGCCGATGAAGTATTGGGCTCAGCTTTTGCGTCTGATGGCAGGAATGGTCTGGGCCCGACCTTCCTGGGCCTCCCCACAGGGCCACTCTGTGCCAAGGCCCACCAGGCTGCCCCCTCTGCCTGTAACCCCCACCTCAGAGAAGGGAGCCTCCATGGGGCCCTCGCACCACACCTAGGCAGCACCCCTGCCCTATGCTGGGCAGGTGCTAGCCACCTCCAGGGGACCCAGTCCCACTGAGGCCCAAACTCGGCACCCCCACTGGGGGAGGGGACGTGGTGGGCACAGAGATTGCAGTTTTCCTGCAAATGCCCCTGCTATGACACACGCTGTGTGGGTGACCTCTGGACATGTCACTTCAAAGTTCCTGACGTTCCATTTCCTTGTGGGAAAAAGACTCGCAAAGATTTTCAAAACTCCCTTCTAACCACACTGCTTAGGAAAAGCCATTTATCTAAGCCCCAAAGTTCCTACCAGTTGCTCTCCGTCTAGTTCTTAAAACATGCAAATGTTAACATGTTAGAAATCCCCTGGGTAATTCTTTCCAGTTTTCTGCATGTTTGAAATTTTTCATAATATGCTGCTGAAAAGGAGGGGGTAAAAAAAAAAAAAAAACACCCGGATGGGCTTGTTGTTGCTGTTTTCCACCGCTGTTACAATTCTACTTTATGGCTGGAGTTTTTCCCTCCTAACAATGCCCAAAGCAATGGCCCAGCACAGAGTAAGCAATTAATAACACCCTGGTAAGTGAATGAATGACTGAAAACAACTGCAGTTTAGCTAAACCTGTATGTATTTTTTTTTTCCATGGGACAGTAAGGCTTTACACTCTCCCTGGTCTGCTGTAACAGACACAGACACAGCACCACTGTTTTCTTGCCCAAAAGTTTGAACTTGAACGTCAGCAGCATCAGCAAGAGATACATGATGGTGGGGCGCCTGGGTGGCTCAGTCGGTTGGGTGTCCAACTCTTGGATACATGATGGTCAATAATACAATGCCTGGGATTTGACTTAAGTATTCTCGAAAAAAATAATGAGAGGAACGTAAGAAACAAGAAGCCATTCTGGAAGCCAGATGAGGAGTACCTGGGACTCCACTGTACTGGTCTCACACCCTGCATGACAGGCTTGTGTGCATGCGCACGTGTGTCAAACTCCAAAAATCCAAACTGTATAGACTGCTTTCCTCTGTGCTTGCCAATATTAAGTGTTAACACACATATATGTGTATATATGTAAATCTGTATATATTTTCAATATAGTCAATATGATAGGTTATAAAATGGCATACATTCAGGGCGCCTGGGCGTCCGTTAAGAGTCCAACTCTTGATCTCAGGGTCGTGAGTTCAAGCCCTGCACTGGGCTCCACACTGGGCATGGAGCCTACTTAAAAAAAAAAAAAAAGCATACGCTACTTTCCTTTGCAGCCATTTGAGGATTACTAAAGTTATACATTTCTTCCTGTTTTTAGGTTATTTGAATGCCTTCATGTTATTTACTTATTTTTCCATGGGGTGTCATCTTTTTCTTACTGATTTGTGGGAACTTTTATAAAACAACTACCACCTATCAGCCGTGTTGCTATTTTGTTCCAGTCTGTCACATTCATCTTTCAATTTCCTTTAGTTTCTGGCTTTCATTTCAGAGTCTTCCTTTCCCTACCCCTGAGTGCCTATTTACTCATACTGCAGGTTTTACATGCTAAAAGTGAAGTCTGTATAGAATTATCCTTTTTCCCAAAAATTATGAGTTCCCTTAATGTATGACCCTGTGAAACTCGCAGAGATTTTATTTGTATCATCTTCACAAATGATTTATGGAAATTTGACAACCATGCCTATTCTCTGTGGGATAAAAAGCCCAATGTATTGATTCGATCAAGTGTGTTGATTACACTGAACAATTCCTCTTTTATCCTCATTAATTTTCCTTTTTGACAGGCGCCTGGGTGGCTCAGTCATTAAGCATCTGCCTTTGGCTCAGGTCATGATCCCAGGGTCCTGGGATCGAGCCCCGCATCAGGCTCCCTGCTCACCAGGAAGCCTGTTTCTCCCTCTCCCACTCCCCCTGCTTGTGTTCCTTCTCTCACTGTGTCTCTCTCTGTCAAATAAATAAATAAAATCTTAAAAAAAAAAACCCAAAACTTTTCCTTTTTGATTTGTCAAAGCCTAAAAGAGAGGTGCACGATGTTCTCAATACTCATGTGGTTTTCTCTTTCAAAATTATAAAATTTTAGAATTACACTACCAGTTTAATGGGATAGGATAACCAAGCTGGCATAAAATATATCAATAAATCACTTTCCTTTTGCGTAATTTCCATATTTAGTTTTAATTTTCCATATTTCAATTTATTTTAATTAATTTCAATTTTTATAGTTAATATCATTTGCTAATAAAACTTTTGTCATATGGACAACGTAACCAATAAAATGTAATATATACCTAAATATAAAATTGATTTTTATTTTACATTTAAAAACAAAAGCAGTAATTCAGCTTTAATTACAACTTGGATTTCAAATGCTTATCAAATGTACTAAAATATGGGGGCGCCTGGGTGGCTCAGTCATTAGGCGTCTGCCTTCAGCTCAGGTCATGATCCCAGGGTCCTGGGATTGAGGCCCACATCGGGCTCCCTGCTCGGCGGGAAGCCTGCTTCTCCCACTCCCCCTGCTTGTGTTCCCTCTCTCGCTGTGTCTCTCTCTGTCAAATAAATAAATAAAATCTTTTAAAAAAAATGTACTAAAATACGTTTGGATGATCTAGCCAAAAAAAAAAAAAAAATTATTCTTATTCTACGTCTGGTAGCTCCTCGCTCACACCCCTCAGTGTTGTGCTATCTGACGTGTAAACGTACCTGACTGTCACAGGCTCACTGTGGGATCTGCCTTTTATCAGTGTAATGGGCCACTTTGGTCCCATTTGTTATTGTTTGCTCTGATTCAACGTCATTGCCTTGCTTTCTTTTTATTTGCATTTACATGGGATGGCCTTTTAGCATCCCTTTATTTTTAACTTTTCAATGTGATTTTATTCTCAGGGTGGTACCTTCTCATAAGCTGCTGAAATCTTTTCTATACCACGTGATTTTTCTGTTTGCTCAGCCTTACAAAGGGAGGCCTATAATATCCCATATTAGGAATAAGAGGATTTTTGATCAGAAAGTGTGTGGTCCCTGTTCAAACCTGTCAGTGCCCAGATAATGGGAAAAAGAAATAGTTTTTTTTTATTTTGTTTACTTTTTGAGAGAGAGAGAGAGAATGACAGAGAGCATGAGAGAGGGGAGGGTCAGAGGGAGAAGCAGACTCCCCGCTGAGCAGGGAGCCCGATGCGGGACTCGATCCTGGGACTCCAGGATCATGACCTGAGCCGAAGGCAGTCGCTTAACCAACTGAGCCACCCAGGCGCCCCAAGAAATAGTTTTAATTACTGTATTTTCACCTTGTCAGTTTAGAAACCCAGGAGCCCTGGGAGAGCTGGGAACAAGTTCTGGCCAGAGGCATCTGGACAGGAAACATCACTTCTATGGTGAAGAGTTTATGTTTGTCCTAACAAGCAAAATTGTTCTTAAGGTGCCGCTTTACTCGGCACGTGGTCCGTAGAGAGAGGGCTCGCACTGGCCAAGTGGGACCCTTGCCCCGAGAGCTCGCTTCCACCTCCAGTGAGTACGTGTGACCTGGGGCCCTCCTGCCCCTGCCTCCCCAGCTGAGGGGCATCGGTGGAGTTCCTCCCCAGAGACGTTCCGCACACAGTGAGATGTCCCTTCCCTAAGCCACTCTGTCCTACAGAAGTTCCCCAGGGGGATAACAGGTGGAACCCCATGTTTGCATGGGGCTACAGCGAACCCGCCTCCTGGCTCTGTCAGGCCCCTCTCACCTTGCTCAGGAGGAAAGGGCAGCTTCCCAGCGTGCAGGGCCAGCTCCAAGGCAGAGTCTTCCTGAGTCACAAAAGGCTCAAGATTCAGGGGGAGGGACATGATATATTGCCCGATCTGAAACAGAAGAAAACACTTTCAACTCCACATTGCCACATACAGGTCATTATTTCTGCAGTACATTCGTGTGAAGGCAAACAGGGGACAGACAAAAAAAGCACGAGGCCTGGGGCAGCCCCAACTCTGATCTTTCCAGCGAGTGTTAATACTGCTATGACAGGACCTTACAAAAATCAATGGCAATTTGCATGTACATCACACATTCATCCTCACACTAATGGCCCCACTATTCTTGGAATGCATTCAATGCAACCACTACCTCAAATGAGATAATGGACACCAACAAGCGATTGTGCAAATAAATATAAATTACAACTATTCATGGATGCAAAACCAGGAAGATGCTAATGTCAACAGGTGCACGGCCAAGCAAGAATCCAAATCCTATCTTCTGGACTTGACTGTGGGTCTTGCCTTTAGAAATGATCTAAGAGAAGGAAGGAAATTTGGGGGGAAAAAAGCCATTTATAATTATAAATTAATTTGGAGGGAAAACTGTACTGTTTTCATAATACAGACTCTAGAAATAAAGATGGACAACGCCTTCTTGGCTGGTGGGGAATCGCAAAAGACAGGATTACAAGACATTTGGGATGAGCCCACAAATAATACAATGTTTGTCATGTGTTTATTGGATGCACATGACTGTCATCACGGGTATATTTTATTTATTTATTTTTTTTTATCACGGGTATATTTTAGATACCACTTTCTATTAAAACTCCTGTTTTGTGTTTTAAGGTAAGTGTATGTTTTTGTTTCAAAATAAGGCTGATTTTCAGGTTACGACAACATACCGCTTTTGTTTTTGTTTTAAAAAAAAAAGGTCTTTGAGCCTGTTGTTGCTTTTTTTTTTGGTTCTATATTTATTCTGTACATTTAAACTTGATTATGATTCTGTAAACTACAATTCCGAGGATTATCCGACTAAGATCTTCCCTCCTGGCCTCACACACACCTACATGGTAGCAGACTCGCAAAGTCTCCCAGCCCAAAGGGAGATTCCGAACATTTCCAAACACCGAGTGTGGGCTGGTTGTACTTAAGTCTCAACATCCCCCGGTCCATTATGCTAACGAAACAGGGTGAGTTTGCTCACCCCCTTTAAGGAGGCACATGGATGGTAAAATAAATTAAATCGGCATTTTTTTCTTTGCATTTACTTAGTATAATCTCTTACTCAAACTAGGTATGTGGGCCACTTTCCTCACTAGTAATAACCGCCACCATACACTTCAGCTTGAAAATGGCAACAAATGCATCATTTTTCCACAAGGCTGGAGGAAAAGAAGGATGTTGGTTTCTGGATTTGGGACCTCTCTGTTCTAATTACATGTGGCAGGCGCTTCCTGAATACCTACTATGTGCATGGACCCTGGGGGATACTCCTGTGTTTGGTACAGCTTTCATCTGGGGCCATAACCTTCTGGCTAAATGCACACACCCAGTTTTACAGGCAATGAAGTGTCAGGATCATTATACCTTGCATCCACGTTGTTTTTCATTTTTCAAAGCATTTTCTCCTATTGTGCCCCTCCATAATGCCCATGCGGCTCTGTGTAGGTTCAGAAGGCATTCACTGACGAGGCAAACTGTCATTTAGGTGCAAAATTTCAATAATCTGACATCTCGAACTTCAACTGGTTGGTTGAGCTTGTGAGGATTGCTGTGGTTCCTGGACAGATCCCACGACTCCAGGTCTCCCTCGGGAGTTCTGTCCATGTTCATCTTTCAGCAATCAATGTGGAAAGGGATGCTTACCAGTGCGCCTGAGGATATTTTTCTACTATTCCCACATATTCAATAAATACTCCTTGATATCCAGTTTGGGTATCAAACTCAGTGACACAGGAAAAATGAAGAGCTTTGTGGTCAGATGGACTTGGGTTTGAGTTCTGGCTCTACTGCTGTGTGACCTTCCTGGTGTCATCATCTCTGACAGGAGGATGATCTCATACTTACTTCAAAGGGCTGTGCCAAGGAGGAAATTCATGTGTGATACACTCATGAAGCACCTGGCGTCCTAACAGAGCGGCTGAGGGATAAGCAGCCCCTCTTGCATTGCCCAGAGCCTCACTGCTTGCCTGTGAAACACTACCACCAACCAGCTCACGTTGTTGTTGTCAAGACAAAATTCTGTGTAGACCACATGCTACCTCATGGCACTGATAAAAGCCTTCACTGTCCTTACACACAGTGTGTGTCCGGTAAGTGCTCGGTTCCCGAGTTCAGGTCATCAGCCCTCAGGTACAATCCTTAACTCGTGGGGGGTCATGGCAGGTGGAAAAGGGCCCTGGCCTGGAAACAATCCGGGCCTCCCCTACTCCGCCAATATCTCAATTTCCTCAATTGTAAAATAATTCAATACCTCTCCAGTCCCTTCCAGCAACATCATTTCCTCAATCCATTTAGACTGTAACACATAGTGTCTCAGTTCTAAAAATAAGATGATTCCCATTGGTTGTAAGAACCAACCCACATCTTAATAGTTTCATCACTACTGGTTTATGAGGTAATGCCCTGGGAGACAGGAGGAAAGCGATTGCCATTTTGAACTCGACACGGCTCCCAATGAACAGAGAGAACAATGCCATCTTCCATGCTACCGCCAATGGGAATCACCAGACACTTCTGATTGTACAATAGTAACTTTTAAAATTTCTTTGGATCTCTTATAATAGAGTCATAACTTACAAAGCAGTGGGTTCTAAAGTGACAGCCTTAGGCAGAAGAAATTGCTTAACTCAGAATCGCTCTGGAGAATGTCAGAAGTCACCCGCAGTGTGAGGTCCCCATGGCTGGAGTACTCTACTCCCACCTGGTATTGAAGAGCAGCCAAGCCAGACTGCAGGAAGGAGCAACAGGAAAGGCCACGTGCAGGGGGGCTGTCGATTCCCAGGGGTGAAAAGAGAAGGAGGAAAGGACTCCAAGTGCCCTGCTCCCCTGTAGGGTTTATTCTGTTCTTTGTTAATATGGAGACTCCAGAACTACAATTCTTAAGAGATTTCTTTCCTGCTGTGAAATTACCCACGAAAGCACTCCACACAGGGCCTGGTGCAAAGCAGGTGTCACTAAAACACTGGCTGAATTTGAACTTAGAACTACATACACACTGTTCCTCTGAAAAGTCGTCGAGAAGAATTTGCCCACCTGTATCCTCTCCTCCCAAGTCAGAATCTCCTATGTGCACTCACACTGGGATGCCCTTACGTACCGGCCACACCTCGCATTGGGAGAGAGGGAGGAGGGGTACGAGTGTGTTAGGTTTTGAAATCAGCTTGTGTTTCGTCAGCTGATTGAATAAGGAAGTCAGCTGCCTTTCCTTAAAGTCCTGGATATGGAAGGAAATCACCCAAAAGCAAAGGTTCAGACAGCACCAATGTGGTAATGACTACTTTCCCCGAAGGGCCAGAATCCAAAGACAAGGCAGGGTCCGCAAGGCTACAACTGCCCCGGAGCAAAGTGCCCAGAAGCTCTTACATTGCTGATGTACTCCAGAGGCGTGAGGCTGAAGGTGGGCAGGTCGTCAGTCAGTGTCTCACCAATGCCTGCTGTGCTCCAGCTCTAGGGCAGGAAGGAGAGAAAGCGATCAAGATCACGGAAGCCAGGAGGCCCGGGAAAGCACCCCACGCCCAAAAATCCTCGAAGAATGCAGCCTTCCTAGAGGTGTCTTTGCTCAGAGACGGCCTTGGGAATTGTCACTATTCGACAGACCAGGGATTTCTCACCAAGTCATCACCCTGAAGCCTGCCACCAAGAAAATAATCCTTTCTCTCTCCACATTCCCACAGACCCATCAAACGGGAGCTCCTGCCTTCTCGACAGAACTATCTGGTGAGAACGGATCCCGTTTGTTGCTCCCACTCAGACTGTGAAGCGAAGAGCTGGATACCCTGTGGTCTGGGTTTCTCTACTCGGGCAGGCACACCAGGTTAAGAGCTGCTGGGCGCAGCTAGCCTCATTAACTCCTGGGTCTTCAGCACTCTAAAGAGACTAGGAGCGCCCCAAATCCTCCACAGAGACCCCATGTAAATCCCTATCTCGGGAGGGAGGCCTGGGAAGCCCCTTCTGGCTGCAGAAATATCCAAACCACATTCACCCACACTCCTTCACTGCTTTTATTTCCACCTGCCTCCTAGATCTATTTCTCGACTGACTCAGACCTCAGAGGGAAAGGGATGGGAAGGAACGTCCAAACCCCACCAGCTGCCCCTTTGTCCTCTTTGTGATCCCTCTGTCTGGGGAGATGTTCTTCCTTCTGACATTTAAAATACCGAATGTCTACGGTATCTCTGTGTGAGCTTTCCCAGCAGTCTCTCTAGAGTCCAGCAAATTACCAGCATGTACATGGTTACAGAGTTCAGCTTGGCACACCTTCACACAGAAATCTAGTTTCTTAATTCCAACCCGAGTCACCCTAAAGCCAGCCTGGAAAACAAGGCCCTTTCTGGCTGCACTCCTGGAGTGACCCCCAGGTCATGCTGTAGCTGCTCTCTGCAGCCACCTGATGCCATCGAGTTGCTTGATCCTTTAAGCAACGTTCCGGGAATGTAATGACCACGTCCACCCCTGGGCTCCCGGCCCAGTCTAAGACTCAGCTGCCCTCCCCACGTTCCCCAGCACCAGCTCAATTCTAATTTTCTTTGCTTGGGACAAGTTCTTTCCTTCCCCACCTCTGCCCCTAGTTTTCTAAACTCCTTGTTCTTGCTCGAGAATCCTCCTCTGTTTCAAAATAGCCTACTTTTCATCAGTTGACTCCCACCCCATGGAGAAGAAACACTGTGATCACCCACACGTACTGAGTGCCCGTGATGTGCAGAGCCTTGTGCCCTGCTTGGTGGAGAGGAGACAAAGAAATGTAAGACTTGGTGCTTGCTCTCCAGAAGCTCCTTGGGAAACCAAGACCCCGCAACACACTCCCGTTATATACCCCAACATGTCCCTCCCCCTGCCGTGCACACACACACAGGCTTCCACTTGGAAGTTCTCCGTGGCAGAGGCAAGGTGTGATACTGTAAGAGTTCAGAGGAGCGAGGGCTCAGGGTGATTACAGCAGGATTGGGCTGCAGGATGCCTGGGGTGCAGAGAGGGAAGACCAGAAGGAGAATGCATAGCTCTCAGACAGCGGGCTAAGAAAGGGCTTTATTTTCAATAAATAAATTGCAAGAGAGTGAGAGAGAGGAGGGGAGGGGAGGAAGGGAACGGAAAGGTAACCTGTAGCTCATAAAAGACACATGGACCAATCCCTACGTGCAGAATGAACCTCGATCCTGAGTCAAACAATGAAATCATGACTTTTATGACAACTGAAAATTTGAACACTGAATGGTATTAAGGAATCATTGCTAACTGAGGGTGATTTGGGTCCTATGATTATTTTTAGTGTTGTTATACTTTAGAGAAGGGATAATATATACGAGACGGACAGCCAGGAGCTGACCTAAGAGGGGTGATGGCGACATGGGGTTCGTTATACTCTTCTCCCCTCACTTGTGTATGTGCGAAAACTTCCCTAGTAAAGTTCTGAAAGACTATTCTCCTGGGCCTGGGGAGCCAGGCAAGGGTCCTGAGTGGTGGAGACAAAATCAGAGTGGTGCTTTATGAAGACTGACGCAGCACCTCGGGAGGACTGAGGGTGGGGAGGCAGGTGAAAAGCTGAAGGAACGGCTGGGACAGGAGGAGAAGCCCAACGAGGACAGGGCCATGCAAACGGACGGGAGATCTCTTCAAAACGAAGGGACAGGGGAGCCCGGGTGGCTCAGTCAGTGAAGCGGCTGCCTTCGGCTCAGGTCATGATCCCAGGGTCCTGGGATCAAGACCCACGTCCGGCTCCCTGCTCGGTGGAGAGCCTGCTTCTCCCTCTCCCTCTACCTGCCACTCTGCCTGCTTGTGCTGTCTCTCTGTCGAATAAATAAATAAAATCTTAAGAAAAAAAAAACAAAAACGAAGGGACAATGCCACGTGGTGGTGAGGTCATTGGCAAAGAGAGCTGTGGTGAGGGGGCAGAGACGAGAAGGCCGGGGGGGCGGGGGGGGGGGCAGGGACGGAGCCCGTGAGCACGGGAGTGACGCCTCAGGGCTGGGCTGCAGGGAAAGAGCCATGTCCCCCAAGCACACGCAGGGGACGAGCACTGCGGGCCGGCGGCCCCGGGAAGGCTCCATGGGGAGACAGGAGGGTGGCCAGGCAGAGGGCAGAGGGGGAGAGCAGCCACAGTGGAAGGGGGTTTGCAAGAAGGGCGGGTGGACAGGGGACAAACTAGGGAGGTGCTCTGCAAGTAGGGTGACCGGGAAATGCTGCAGGGTATTTTTTAATTGTTCAAAATTTATTGAAAAGTTCCTTCATACGGGCTTTTCTCTCCCATCTGTCACCAGATGATGTGGGCAAACGTCAACAGTCGATTCTGAAATGGAATATGGTGTTGGTTTATATTCTTCAAATGTGAAAGGGTAATACAATTTACTGGCAAACATTAAAAGCAAACACTGAATGACCAGGGTTTAATTTTCAAATCCTTAGGGCCGAAGTGTTTGCCTTTGTGTTGTGTGCTTTCCTCCTGGCAACTCTGGGAGAGCTCCTCCTAATCTCTGAGCTGCCTGTCTCCATTCCCAGGGCCCCGTAGGGTGTCGTGGCACAGCCTGAGTGAGGAGGCAAGATTCAAGCAACCAAGAGCCCAACCACAGAGTGAGGCAGTTGGATGAGCAGTGGGAAGAGCTGAGCTTCCAGAACAGAAGGTCAAGATGTTAGGATCTGGGGTGGGGGGATGGGTGACACAGGTGAAGGGGATCAAGAGCACACTTTTCGTGAGGAGCACTGAGTCGGGGACACAGTTGTTGAATCCCTAGACTGTACATCTGACACTCACATAACACTGTATGTTAATTATACTGGACTAAAAAAGAGGTAAAAGAAAAAAAAAGATCCTGGTTCTTAACATCCCCATGAATCACTTGTTTTATCCTACAATACACATGAAATCGTTTCTAAACAACAATGACATTACTACTAGCAATAAAATGACTGGATGAAGTTAAAAAAAATTTTTTTTAAGCTCTAAGAAAAATCAAGCAACCAGCTCTGGGGGTTGGGGACGGGAAGTATAAAGAATGCTAATCCCCTCATCTTTCAGAACAGCTCCAGCAGTACCAGCAGCTACGGAAAATGGAAGGGTGACTAACCAAAAACAATGACCCTGGCCTCTTAACGGTTTTCATAATCCTTTTTGTGCAACTTTGGAGAGATCTTCTGGGTGCTGATGCCTTTTGGGGGAAGAACCTATTATCTCAGGTTCCACGATTCCTTTCATTTCACTTCCTTTCTCCCTCTTCTAGTCAAGTTCAAATAAATGTTATATTGTGTACGTTTTGGTTTTTAAAAAAATAGCACGTGTAGTCCAGTTCCATTTCCTCTACGGATCTATCTACCCATTGGTGCCCATCCAGCCTCCGACGTGGGCAGGAAGGGGTGTCTGGGGGATGAGCACCATGTGTTCGCACGGATTTCTATGTTGTGGGATTCTGAAGGGAGTTACTGCTGTTTTCATTGTACTATCCTGTACTGCCTGAATTTCTGAAAATGAGTATGTGCAATTTTTATTTTAAACAACTGTCATTCCTCTTTAAAAATGAGCACTCATTAAGCATCTTACTCTGTGGCAGCTAAGTTCTATCATCTTTGAAATGTCATGTAATCCTCATACACCTGCATGGTCAGAATCAGTGTGTCCCCATCTAATGAGATGAGGCTTACGCGGGAAGCTGATCTGATGGGACCATGCCAGGGATATCCCTTCTGCCACACTGTGACAGGGGCGGCTTTCCTGCAGTTTCGTCCCCCTCCTCCACCGCCCCCCCCCCAGAAACACAGAATCTGACTGCGGTGGATCCCATGGCATTCTGCAGGAAAATCATAAAGAATGAAAATCATGGAATTTCAGGGGTAGAAAGAACTTTGAAATCATGTAGTCCAACCCCATTGTTTCATGGATGGGGGTTCTGAAATCCAGAGAGATCCACAGACTCCACCCAGGTCATACAGTGAAGAAGTGAGTGGCCCTTGAGCCCTGGTCTTGTATGCTTTCCAGAAGGCAGCAGGAAGCAAAGAACTTGTAATCATGCCTAAAGCGTTCTTGTTGCCTCCTAAAAGGATCTCCTGGTTATTAAAGACCCATAACTGGATCTTTCTCAAAATCCTATCCCAGAAATCCAAATGGCAGTGAAGAGACCAGAGCCACGGAAGTCACAGCAGGTAGAGAAGTGACTGATGGGTAATCCCTTGAAAGGAGTCAGGACAAGCAGAAAAGGGTCCATGGTGAGGGAAGGGAGGTGCTCCGGGAATAGCCATAGAAAAAAGGCATCAAGGACAGAAAACAGCAGAACCCTACTTAAACCCCTGTCAAAATCACCAGTTCAGATCTGGTAAGGCACTCTCCTGGGTGAAGTTCCAGAACCAATGCTCATGAAAAGAATGCAATCTCCCGGGACAATTACCTCCTCTGACCTGCCCCAACCTATCCAGTGGCACATAATCTCCCTCACTTCTCCCTGAGAGGGCCCAGCTACACTGCTCCGAATGGTGAAAGTTAATCAAGCAGTAATAATAATCCCAGGAAGCAGGATGAAAATAAGACATCATGGTGACTCCAATTAAGATAAGAAATTCTTGCTAAGCAGTGAGTTGCAAGGGAACAGTGAGTCTGTACAGTGGGACTTTTAGCCAGGAGAGTTAGAGTGTTTCCTCCTAAAGCTCCTGGGGGGTCGGGGCAGGGGGCGGTGCCCAATACTCAAAACTGCCCGGGGAAGGAGGCAGCACCCAGCGGGATGTCTGCGGTCTCGGAAAACTCACATCCATCTTGGAAACAAGTAGCAGCTGCTGTTTGATGCGCAGGAAAACGGAATCGAAAGCCAGCTGGTGGGCCTGCTGATTAAGCCGAGTCAGGGCCGTGCGAGACGCAGACAGCAGGTTGTGGTTACTTGACCCTTTTTCCTAAGACGAAAAAATGCAAAAGGCTGTGAGGGCCTGGCTCTAATCAAGGTTATCAGCTAGTTCAACATTTTGAAAAGCGCTTGAGAGGAAGACAGTGAGGGGGTGGGTCCATACAGTCATGGTTCCCAAGCGCGGCTGTGCCCTGGCATCCCCTGCGGAACATGCCAGATTACAGGTGCACACGCCCTGCCTCAGAGCCACTGAATCAGAGTCCAGCAGAGCTCTGGAGCCCAGGGAGCAATGTTTTTAACTCACTTTTTCATGTAATTCTGATGCAACTGCTAACACAAGCTGATGGACTGGCCGTTTAGGAAAAATTAACTGATGACTGTCCCTCAGGGATAGAGGCAGAGGGAGAAAATGATCAGAAGTGTCAGGTATAAACAAGAGTGAGGGACAGGAGCCTGATTCCCAGTGAGGTCAGCTCGGTTACACTTGGCTGTACAGCAGACTACGCATAACCTATATGAGTCCCAAGGAATTCTAAACAGCCTGAGAAAATACAGAGATGGAAAATGTAACCTTAGTTTTGCTATTATAAATGAACCGATTACAACAAACTAAACCAGATCAGCAATAAAGATAAACAGAGTTGCTTTAACCTAATCATGGAAGCATGGATGAATGAACCTGCACAACTGTTTTAAGAAGCGTTTGTCAAGCTCCAATGCAGCCAACTGGCATGCCAAAGTGCACAGCGATGGGGAGACCGTGTGAGGGCAATGATGAAGCCTCAGATACATCCAGAGGCTCACAGTACAGTCATCCCCAGAGCTCGAGGCCCATCAGGACACCCTGAGATTGCATTTCGTGCCAAGCGAATGGCAATGTCTCCTCTATCACCAAGACAGGTGGGGGGATGGTTCTGGAAAGGATGTTACAGCCTTCTTAGGATCCTGGGGCCATTCGAGGGTTGCCGTGTGGTTCACTCAATGTGTTGGGAGGTTCTTCCATCCCTGGATCCCCCAAGGGGCCCAAATCTCAAAGTCAAGGGCAGCATTGTGATAGGCATCCTAAGAGCTTAAGCTAAAGGGACAGCCAAAAGGGAATACTTATCTTCAGGTCCTCCTGCTGCCATGAGGAGGATCAACTTCCCCATGGCAGAGTTGGGGGCCTCCTTTGTGGGTTCTGCCCACTATCGGGTGGTCCATATTCTGGTCCCCTCTCTGCCATTCAGTAACTGGGGCCTATCCCTGCACTGGGGCCAGGGGCTACCTAGCCCCACCCATCCTGCTGGCAAATCTGACTCTGGAGGGATGTACAGCAAGCCCATCTGGCCATACATCTAAAGTCATGCTCTCCACGCAGAGGCTCTACTGCCTTTTGTCAGTAAGAAAGCTCCACTTCTCCAACGCCTACTCCTGTATGTCCATTCGTTCCCACCCAGTTTAGTTTATCAGCTCCTTAAAAAGCAACATAAATGAGACTGAGAAGAGGCAGTGGGGCGCACTGCAGACTGCGGCCCACACTCAGAGCCAAAGAGACTGGATCGGGGAAAGGGTGACAAGAATGCCATCAGTCTGGTCTCATACCTTGAGGGTATATAGTATTTCCATTAAACTGGCATATTCAGCAGGGTTCTCTTTCTGGAGATAATTATATTCTTGCCATGGGTTCTTGGCAGAGCTCTTCTTGTCTGTCAAGATGCTATCTTGAAACCCGGCCAGGCTCCGAGGGCTGTAGGAGTCAGAGAGGTACTTGCCGGCTGTCGACAAAATCCTGAAATGAAAGGGATGACCGTTATGCCCCGAGCTATTTGTACGGAACTTTCCTCTGGGAGCAGTTTGTTCCTTCCTAAATCCCAGGATATCCTTACAAGGCAAACTGATTTCGGGTCTGCTTTCTAAAAAAAGGAAGACCTCCTTCGTCGCTGAGGAACCAGCTGGACCTCGGGTGCACGAGAGACACCAGGTTTTTCTAGTTCCTATTTGACACTTGGGCCGCTGGCATCTGCCACCTTCCGAACACGACAGACCGCCTACACGGGACAGTCATCAATTGACTACAATCTGGGATACTGTGCATTTCCCATGAGGCCCTTTCTGGCTCTGGGAGCATCACTGTGTGGAACGGAGCCAAGGGGAGCCACCAGCGCCTCAGCCACAGCGGCACAGACACGGTGGCCGCAGAGCTGGTCCCGGGAGAGCGGGGGCAGCAGCTCGAAGCACACCTCTAGCCACAGGACTCACTGTCACATCATACAACTGGGCCGGTGTGGGCTTCGGGTTCACCCACCCCATAAGGTTTACTTTTGTGGTTTAGGTGCCACAGAGAGATCTACTGAGAGAAGCAAGCACTGTCCCATTTCTCTGAGGAGGAAAAGTGCCTGGAGGAGGTTCTAGGTGACGACCAATGTCTAGGGCTTGAATCTTCTCTCTCCAACAAGGACGGCCTTCCCTGATGGGTGCTGCAAGTCGTCCGCTGTTTTCCCTAAGCCCAGCTTGACCATCCAGCGTACACACTTGAACGTGCACAGAACCATATGAACATAGGCAACCAGGAGGACAGACATTCTATTACATCCCTGACCCCTCCTTGACCATAACTTCTCATGAAAAAAAATCACCTTGGACCTGGCAGCTTTTAGGCTGAACTCCCTTTTTAAAAAAACAAGTCTGGTGAACCTGTCAAGGAATTTGTGTACCTGCAAAAAAACGGTGGGGCCTCAGGAACCAGTGTCTCTGCCACTAAGTTATGGTTCTCCCCATTGCTTACGCCTCCAGGTGACTTCAGCTGGGTCTTTTGTCTGCCAAACTGTGGCCTGTTCCTGCCACCACCCTTACTTCCTAGTCTTCACTATTTGTGAGGACCAAACAGGGTGCTCTTCCCCTCTGAATTCCCAGCACCGAGCACAGGGCCTGGCCCATGGCGGGTGACCCTGGGTTTGGCGAGCAGGAAGTGGGAGCTGCCCTCTGGGAAATCAGCTCCCCCTGGCAGGTCACGGCCATATGTGCCTCCACTCGGTCAGCTGGGGGGAGACTGGCACCAGTCTGCCATCTGCGCTGAAGAAAAATAGGTATGCCAGAAATGTTTTAAGTATTAAAGATTACTGTTTAAAATGTCAGAATATTGTGCTCTAAAATAAGAACCAGGGCACCTGGGTGGCTCAGCTGGTTAAGTGTCTGCCTTCGGCTCAGGTCATGATCTCAGGGTCCTGGGACCAAGCCTCATGTCTGGGATCGAGCTTCTCCCTCTCCCCCCTGCTCGTGCTCTCTCTCTCTCTCAAATAAATAAAATCTTTAAAATAAAATAAGAACCAAATCTAAAAGAAAAAAAAAGTCGGAATAAATACAGTTCCAACCCTAAGGAAAGAATAGTATCTCTTCCTCCCAGCCTCTTCTTCATTCAGACAGATACCATTAGATGAACTAATCATCAGACTCAGATCTCCTAGGATGTGTGTTTACTAGTACTGTGAATGAAACCTTACTGAAATGAACACTTGGGTCTCCTGGGTGGCTCAGTCAGTTAAGCACCTGCCTTCAGCTCAGGTAATGATCCCAGGGTCCTGGGATCGAGCCCCGCATTGGCCTCCCTGCTCAGCGGGAAGCCTGCTTCTCCCTCTCCCTCTGCTAGTGTTCCCTCTCTCACTATGTCTCTGTCAAGTAAATTAAAAAAAAAAAAAATTTTTTTTTTTGAAATGAACACTTTTATTTTTTCTCACTCACAAAGAAACATTTTCTCTTCACTGGAATGGGCTGTAAGCAGGTCTTGGGGATGGCAGATAATTAAACAGTCCTCACCCTCAAGAAGCTCAGAGATTAACGGGGGAGTCCAACCTGTACCAATGTGCTAACGGCTGTGTGGGGAGACAGCGGTAAGTACGCACAGAGGAGGGAGAGACTAATGTCATACTTTGATCTGCTTCCTCAACTCATCTCCTTTCATGAAAGGTTACCCAGTTCTTTACAAGCCATGGAAACTTGTAAATTTATATTGGATCCCCCAAACCTGATTTTCCCACTGAATTGTCCCACTAAGACCTTATCCTGGTGAAAACACCACTGTGCCAAAAATCAGTGATGGGTGCCGTGAGAGTATAGAGGGGCCATGCCTATCTCCCTGTATCTCATCCGACTTGCCCAGTGCACCAGAAAGCCCTCCAGTGGCACTCAGCCCATCAATCACAAAACGATCCCTTTCTGCAAGGAGGTGATCTTAAGAGCCCCAAAGCCAATGTCACTCATGTCGCTGAAGTAATCTGGAGTGTTCTGAGCTACTGCCTTTGCCACCTTGGGGTGGGGGGGTGTGGTCCTTGGGCCAAGTCTGTGTTCTGCAGGGGAGACTGAGGGGAGATTGACAGGCAGATAAAATAAGCTTTATAGGCAGATGTCACACCCGTGGCCTCCCTAATGGGAACACAGATGGTGACTGTCGCTCTTTTCCCTTTCCAGGATCAGCACTTCCAAAATGATGTCACCTCTTAAAGAGACTCCCTTGGATACGCCCAGTTGGTTCTCATCTCAAGCCAAAGCTCGGGTCAGACTTTCAGCTTCTCTGGGCTGCAAAATGCAGATGGAGAGGCTCATCCTGTACCTACCATGACCTGTTCAGCTTCCTAACGAGATCCTTCTTTTCCTTTTAGAATGTTAATATTCACCTTCATTAAAAGATTAAGGAAAACCGGTATATCCTGATATGGAAAGACGTCTGCTGTACACATGCAGAGAAACCCAGGTCCAGGGTGGGACACTAATTTGTGAGAAGGACAGTGTGGGCAGTGCAGGGGTGACACACTCTGGACAGCTCAGCTGCCTCATGGTTCCGTGACCTCAGACACAGCTATTTCCACAGATCATTTCTTTTACTTAAGTTACTACCTGTGCCAGACTCCATGCCGCAATGTCCCTTTGTCTGTAAAAATGCGGATGAACAGTACCTACCTCTTTGGCCACTGGGAGGATCAATGACTCAATTCCTGTAAAGTCCTTAATATCAGAGCTCAATAAATATTATGGGTGGGGGAAGATGTTAATAATGTTTCTTCTAAAGAGGATTTTGAGGGTGGTTTCCGTTTTTATTTTGTATACTCGTGAACTGTTTTCATTTTTGCCAGGCTATAATTACTACTGAAATTAAGAAAATAAGAAGCTGCATGCCCTTCTTTTAAATACATAAACGTTACACTTTCAGCTCTTCCCAGGAGCCCTCTGAAAACCCAGGCCCATTCACTCTCCACCACAGGCTCCCCTCACCGTGTGTGCGTGTGCGCACGTTGGCATGTGTGTATGCGGGGGGGTTAATGGTCACAGCGTTTATATTATTTACACACACTCCACTACGTGCCCATGGTGTTGCGTTCTATTCGGTGCAGGAAGTCACATCATTTCTGTGCTGGGCTGCTCGGGAGTTCTGTACAGCAGCGGCTACCTGTTCTACCCCACGGTGAAACACTGCCCAGGACGAGAACCACTGTGAGAGGTCATGAACCTGAAGACAGTCCGTGGGCTTGGAAATGAAAGAGACAGAAAGTGGCGAGAAGGAGAAACAGCTGCCTCGGAGTGCTGACCCTGCTGCTCGGCCACTCATCCCCAGCTCCCACCAGCGGGCTGTGTTGCCACGAACAGGCCACCCCACACGGCCCCTCCCACCCCCGCCAGCTTTCGCTGCACAGCGGGCCACCACCAGAAATTCCCTCCCGCCCAGATTACTTTAGGACAATAAGGAATTATCCGAGAAAGAGGTGACGGGGCTGCTGCTAGGCCCTCAGACAACCATACGAAACAGATGTCTTCCCCCCAACTCCTGGAGAACACAGAAATCAGGGGTGCCAAGGGAATGAGAGATTTAGGTGTTTGTAAAAGGAAGGAAGGAAATTTGGGAGGCTGGAGCCCTTTGAGGGGAAAACCAGCCTGAACGGGATGACTTTAGGGCAATGGAAAGCCCTGGCAGGTATCAGAACAGAGAAAGGAGGGGAAGAAACTTTTCCTAGGGCTGACCCCGGACATCCTCCTTCGACACACACTGCCCTTGGAAGCACAGAATTCCGCTGCAGACCCCGGAAGGCTGGCTGGGTGTATCCTGATTCTGTGGGCTGCCCCAGAGGCCTTCACCACCACCTATAGTGCTGTTTGTATGGAGACACATAGAGTCCCAATAATTAACATACAAACAAGCAGTGGGAACCCAGCCCATTTATAATTTGGAGACAACACGTACCGTCTCCTCATTTGGGCTGCAACTTCCATATCTAACGCAAACTTTGTGACCACTGCCAAGTAGCTCAGAGCCTTGCCCTTTTTAGGTGCTCAGTAAATGTTTAATGATGACAGTAATGACACTCCGTATCTAGGTACAGACAGTCCTCCAGCCGTGTGACTTTCAGATGGACTGTGTTGCCACTGCTGTGCTGTGTGCTCTATCAGGTTCTTCCCCGGCCAGGATCCCAGGGACTCGCCTACTACTCTGGCCTACCTGTTTGCTAGTTGCTGCTCGAAGTCCCCACATTGCCGCAAGAGCTCGCCACAGGTGGTTATTATCCTAAACAAAACAAAAAGCACGTCAAGTTCAAGTGTCTGGAATGTTGACGTTTACAGAACAAACAAACATTGTCTCATTCATAAACATTCTAACTATTCACTCCTTTTGGGGGTGCTGGGTTCTGGAGAAGCGGTTAACCATCAGACGGTCTACCTGACATGTCTCACTAATCAGTAATTCAGGGAGAAGGTAAACGTGACTCCCTTCTAACATCCTCAAATCACAGGCCTCCCTGCTGGGAATCACAATCCTGTCCCACAGGTCTCAGATAATCTTACATTTCCCAAATACTGAGGTGCTTTGGGGCTTTGTCCTTAAGAAAACGGGTTGGAAATACTTCATATCTAAAATTAAAAACCAGGGCACCTGGCTGGCTCAGTCAAAAGAGCATGTGACTCTTGATCTCGGGGTTGTGAGTTTGAGCCCCACATGGGGTGTAGGGATTACTAAAATTTAAAAACTTTTAAAAAATAAAATAAAATTTAGAAACCAACAATACATTTAAAAAATCATTCACCACGATCAAGTGGCATCTATTCCAGGGATGCAACAGTGGCTCAATATTTGCAAATCAGTCAACCTGATACATCACATCAACAAGGGATAAAAATCATATGATCCTCTCAACAGATGCAGAAAAAGCATCCAACAAAGCACAATATCCATTCATGACAAAAACTCTCAACAAAGTAGGTTTAAAGGGAACATATCTCAACATAATAAAGGCCATCTATGAAAAACCCACATCTAATATCATCCTCAATGGGGAAAAACTGAGAGCTTTTCCCCTAAGGATAAAGACAAGGAGGGCTACTCTCACCACTTTTATCCAACATAGCACTGGAAGTCCTAGCCACTGCAATCTGACAACAAAAAGAAACAGAAGGCATCCAAACTGGTGAGGAAAAGGTAAACCTTTCACTACGTGCAGATGACATGATACAATACAGAGAAAACCCTAAGACTCCACCAAAAAACCACTAGAACTGATCGATGAATTCAATAAAGTCACAGGATACAAAATCAATGTACAGAAATCTGTTGCATTTTTTTTTTTTAAAGATTTTATTTATTTATTTGACAGAGAGAGATAGTGAGAGCAGGAACACAAGCAGGGGGAGTGGGAGAGGGAGAAGCAGGCTTCCCGCGGAGCGGGGAGCCCGATGTGGGACTCGATCCCAGGAACCTGGGATCATGACCTGAGCCGAAGGCAGACGCCTAACAACTGAGCCACCCAGGCGCCCAATCTGTTGCATTTTTTACACTAATAGTGAAGAAGCAGAAAGGGAAATTAAGAAAACAATCCCATTTACAACTGCACCAAAAATAATAAAACACCCAGGAATAAACCTAACCAAAGAGACAGAAAGACCTGTACTCTGAAAACTATAAAACACTGATGAAAGGAACTGAAGATGATACAAATGTAAAGATGTTCTATGCTCATGGTTGGAGGAACCAATACTGTTAAAATGTCCACACTACCCAAAGCAATCTACAGATTTAATGCAATCCTTATCAAAATATCAACAGCATTTTTCATAGAACTAGAACAAATAACCTTAAAATTTGTATGGAACCACAAAAGACCCTGAAAATAGCCAAAGCAAACCTGAGAAAGATGAACAAAGCTGGTGGGATTGCAATCCCAGATTTCAAGATATATTGGAGTTAATCAAAACAGTATGGTACTGGCACAGTAGCAGTAACTGATCGACAGAACAGAATAGAGAGCTCAGAAATAAACCCACACATATATGGTCAATTAATCTACGACAAAGGAGGTAAGAATACACAATGGGTAAAAGACAGAATAAATAAACCTCTTCAACAAATGGTGTTGGGAAAATGGGACAGCCACATGCAAAACAATGAAACCAGACCACTTCCTTATACCATACACAAAAATAAACTCAAAATGGATTAAAGCTTAAATGTGAGACCTGAAATCATAAAACTTCCAGGAGAAAATATAGGCAGTATTTCTTTGACATCGGCCATATATACATTTTTCTAAATGTGTCTCCTCAGGCAAGGGAAACAAAAGTGAAATTAAACTATTGGGGCTACACCAAAATAAAAAGCTTTTACTTTTTGCGAAGGAAACCATCAACAAGACAAAAAGGCAATCTACTGAATGGGAGAAGATATTTGCAAATGATATATCCAATAAGGGGTTAACATCCAGAATATATAAAGAACATATACAACTCAACACCAAAAAAACCCAGAAATAATCCAAATAAAAAATGAGCAGAGGACTTAGGAGACATTTTTCCAAAGAAAGACAAATGGTCAACAGACACATGAAAAGATGTTAAACATCACTCATCATCAGGGAAATACAAATCAAAACCACAAGGAGATATCACCTCACACCTGTCAGAATGGCTACAATCAAAAATAAAAGAAATAATAAGCATTGGGGCTCCTGAGTGGCTCGGTCAGTTAAGCATCCAACTCTTGATTTCGGCTCAGGTCACGATCTCAGGGCTGTGAGATCGGGCCCCGCATTGGGCTCTGGGCTGAGTGTGGAGCCTGCTTAAGATTCTCTCTCTCCCAAGGGGAACCCTCCTACACTGTTGGTGGTAATGCAAGCTGGTGCAGCCACTCTGGAAAACAGTATGGAGGTTCCTCAAACAGTTGAAAATAGAGCTACCATACGATCCAGCAATTGCACTACTGGGTATTTACCACAAAGATACAAATGTAGGGATCCGAAGGGGTACGTGCACCCCAATGTTTATAGCAGCAATGTCCACAATAGCCAAACTGTGGAAAGAGCCAAGATGTCCATCGACAGATGAATGGATAAAGAAGAGGTGGTATATATACACAATGGAATATTATGCAGCCATCAAAAGGAATGAGATCTTGCCATTTGCAACGACATGGATGGAACTGGAGGGTGTTATCCTGAGTGAAATAAGTCAATCAGAGGAAGACATGTATCATATGACCTCACTGATATGAGGAATTCTTAATCTCAGGAAACAAACTGAGTGTTGCTGGAGTGGTGGGGGGTGGGAGGGATGGGGTGGCTGGGTGATAGGCATTGGGGAGGGTATGTGCTATGGTGAGCGCTGTGAATTGTGCAAGACTGTTGAATCACAGATCTGTACTTCGGAAACAAATAATGCAACATATGTTAAGAAAAAAGAAGAAGAAGAAGATAGCAGGAGGGGAAGAATGAAGGGGAGTAAGTCGGAGGGGGAGACGAACCATGAGAGACGATGGACTCTGAAGAACAAACTGAGGGTTCTAGAGGGGAGGAGGGTGGGGGGATGGGTTAGCCTGGTGAAGGGTATTAAAGAGGGCACATTCTGTGTGGAGCACTGCGTGTTATGCACAAACAATGAATCATGGAACACTACATCAAAAACTAATGATGTAATGTATGGTGATTAACATAACAATAAAAAATTTAAAAAAAAAAAGATTCTCTCTCTCCTTCTCCTTCTGTCCCTTCCCACGCTCATGCTCATTCTCTCTCTCCCCCAGAAAGAAAGAAAGAAAGAAAGAAAGAAAGAAAGAAAGAAAGAAAGAAAGAAAGAAAAGAAAAGAAAAAAAAGGAAAGAAAAGAAAGACTAAGTTGGTGAGGATGTGGAGAAAAGCAAACCCTTGTGCACTGTTGGTGGGAATGCAAACTAGTGCAGCCACTGTGGAAAACAGTACGAAGCTTCCTCAAAAAATTAAAAACAGAATTACCATATGCTCCAGTAATGTCACTACTGGGTATTTATCCAAAGAAAACAAAAACACTAATTCAAAAGATATACCCACCCCTATGTGGACTGCAATGTTATTTACAATAGCCAAGATATGGAAGCCACCCAAATGTCCATCCATAAACAAAGGGATAGAGTATGTGGTATATATACAATGGACTATTATTCAGCCATAAAAAAGAATGAAATCTTGCCATTTGCGACCACATGAATGGACCTAAAGGTATTATTCTAAGTGAAATAAGTCAGAGAAAGACAAATACCTATGATTTCACTCATATGTAGAATTTAAGAAACAAAGCAAAACAAAAGAGACAAACAGATCCTTAACCTCAGAAAACCAACTGATGATTGCCAGGGGGAGGTGTGTAGAGGGATGGGTGAAACAGATAAAGGGGGTTAAAAAAATTAAAATTTAAACCAAAATTCATTACTTAGTATTTGTTAGATGTCTGCTATTTCTAAGACAAAGAAAACTGTTTTTATAATTAAGTATCTCTCTCTGATCCCATGAAAGGCAGAGGAAGAGTAATCCATTTGGCTTCTCGGAGATAAGCCTGAATGACCATCATACCTGTATTTAATAATCCTTTAATTTTCCAGTAATTTTATGCTAGGCCTCAAACTACAGCGACTGAGCCCTTCAACACTAAACTATAAATGTCAGGACAAATCCAAGGATTAAGAACATCTTAAGTCTAGTTAATTTTTAACTTCTCTAAAAGTGCCTATCCATCACCAGGGTATCTGGGCATTCCATCATAAGAAAGGTTTATGAGAAAATGAAATATTCCACTTTTCACTTGCCTCAGTGCAACAGAATAACCTTGTACATAGTATTTTCTGGTATACCAAGCCACCACAGATGACAGGGGATACAGTTAGCATCCAGAACATTAAATTTCATCCAAAAAAAAAAAAAGTCCAGATCAGAGCCCATGAGATTATCCAAATGGCCCTCGGAGGTGCCAGATCTGCTCTGATTAAAGACAGCTTTCAGGGGCGCCTGGGTGGCTCAGTTGGTTGGGCGTCTGACTCCTGATTTCGGTTCAAGTCATGATCTCCGGGTCGTGGGATCGAGCCTGGAGTCAGATTCCATGCTCAGCGTGGAGTCTGCTTCTCCCTCCCCCTCTGCCCCTTCCCTTGCTCTCTCACTCTCTCTCTAAAAATGAATAAATAAAATCCTTACAAAAAAAAAGACAGCTCTCAGAAGGTCTGGATATGCTCTGGCGTGGACCACCACACTAAGAACTCCAAGTGTCGTGGGCACCCTGTGCACACGACCTAGACCAGGGGTCAGGCAAGTGGGTGAAGGGCAACCTCCCTCTTCAGAATGTACGACAATGAAGAGTGGTTTTAAGGAAAAGAAATTCTGGGTTGCTTTTTATCTCAGCCTAAGAGTACAGCGGCTACCACACACGGTAGTAGAACAAACAGCGGCACAAGAGAACCTACCACCAATCTGGCAGGGACTTCAGCGACCAGCCCCGGGAAGACGATGCGAACCCACTGCTTCTAGGACTTCCAATGTTTAGGTGATGTTACAAATCTGGATTATGTTAAATCTGGTTTATAAATGTTGACAACTAACCCCAAATTTTGTAAATGATGTGATCAAGTCCCTAGGTCAGATCTGGCTACAGGCCAGCAGTCTGCACTTTCTGGCTGGACTTTTCAAGGGCCAAACCTTCTCAGGCCACTGCTGATCACATTCTTACCAGGGCTCAGGGCTTAGGGCAGCAGGGGTCTATCTATTGGCCCACAGGTCACAGGGGCTACCCCCAAGATCTGGCTGTCAACCACACTTGGGAGAGCCACCTCAATCTCTGTTATGGAACTCTAACATGGTCCTTTTTAGGCCAGATAATGTTGCCTTACCACTTAGTGGTATTGTGCTTAGATCTAAAAACAGGATCTGGAGTCCCTGGCTGGCTCAGTCAGTGGAACGTGTGACTCTTAACCTTGGGCCTGTGGGTTTGAGACCCATGTTGGGTGTATAGATAACTTAAAAAAAAAACAACAAAAAAACTAGGGGCGCCTGGGTGGCTCAGATGGTTAAGTGTCTGCCTTCAGCTCAGGTCCTGATCCCGGGGTCCTGGGATTGAGCCCCACGTCGGGCTCCCTGCTCTGCAGGGTGTCTGCTTCTCCCCCTCCTTCCTGCTCAAGCTCTCTCTCACTATCTCGGTCTCTCTCAAATAAATAAATAAAATATAAAAAAAAAAAACTTTAAAAAATTTAAAAATTTAAAAAAATAATAAAAATAGGATCCAATCAGCTGTGTATTTTCTAAAATACAAGCTCTAAGTTATTTTAGGCCTGAAAAATTATAGGCTAAGGGGAAAAAAATCTCAAACCAAATATAAAAAAAATGTAAGTCACCAAAGGACATGAAGAGTGCATTCAGACTTTAAAATGCTTTAGCAGTGAGGGGGTCTTTCTGGGTTGCTATTGTTGTTGTTCTTTTTAATTGGCTTGTTTTTAGAGTTTAGAGTTTTTGCTTTAAAAAAAAAAAAAAGGCAGTGAGGGAAAAAAAATGAACCCCTTACAAACACATTTATCATTTTTACGTATTATATGATGCATGTTTCTGCTTACAACATGGGGCACACATTTAAGTTACAGCCCTCATTTTTACCTGATGGAGTTCTGAAAAGCTGTCCAATCTTCTTGAAAGAGTGAGTTGGGAGGAATATCATCGAGCTTGCACTTCTTCCGTATTGACTGGAGAGTACTGGTGAAATCGGACACGTACCTATGAGGAAAGAAAAAACCCCGACAGGGATGTCATCGTAAAGTCCTCGGCTCTAAAGACACCTGGAATTATGACACCTGGAATTACGTGGCTTTGGACAAAGGGCTAAGGACCTCGAGAGCATCTTTTGAGGCTCCCACTGAGGAGTCAGAGGACTTGTAAACTCTGACCACAGAAGGGTCTTCTCTGTATGGCTGGACCACCTTTCTTACCTGGAAGGACAGCTTTAAGAGAGATGCTCAAGACGAGACAGGAGGGGAGAGCCACATAGACAAAGACTCTGGTGACCCACCAGGTGAGAGGTGGTGCTGGTAAATGACTCCCTGGCCCAAAGAACTGTCCTGACACGTCATGGTCCCACTAAGATATCCAACCATCACCTGGCACAAGGTAAGGCAGCTCGCCGATGCCCAGGGTACTCTTGCGGGATTCTTGCCCCCCACCCCCAATGTAAACAGCCAAGCTCCATGGCAGCAAAGTGCCTGGCTTGAATGGCACAGGATGTGAAACTGGATTCGAAGCTGAAGCCCCTCCTCCTCAGGCTGCTTTTTGCTCCCCCAGTCAGTCCCCCAGCTGCTTTCCTTCACAGCACCCAGCACAAGTGTAAGTCCATCGCTTCTTTCATGTGTGTGTTTAATGTGCTAGACTAGAAGCTCCGGGAGAACAGAGACTATCTCCTTATAGCTCGTAACAGTGTCCCCAGGAATTAGCACAGAGCTGGGCACAAAAGAGACACCTGGAAACAGTTCCTGGATGAATGCAGAACTTGAGCTGGGGCTCTGAGAAAGTGTTCGGGTGTCTTTAAGCCTGTTTCCTCATCTTTAAAATGGACTTAATTCATGGTGTCTTCTATATTGCCTCAGGGAGTCGTGATGATCAAATAAATGAAATAGGAGTTTCTGGGTGGCTCAGTTGGTTAAGCGTCGGACTCTTGGTTTCAGCTCAGGTCATGATCTCAGGGCCATGAGATTGAGCCCTGCATTGCGCTGGGCGCTCAGTGCGGGGTCTGTTTGTCCCTCTCCCTCCTCTCACGCACACTCGCTCTCTCTCTCGTAAATAAATAAATAAAATCTTTAAAACCTAAATAAATGAAATAATATACACAAACATTCTCTGAAAAGTATAAAATGAAAGCTGATGTGGGGTGGTGTTGTTTCTGAGGATGTACAGTTCTTGGAACATGAACGAATGTGCACACATCCTTGGGAGGGTGTGGTAAGGAGGACATGGGTGAGCGGGGGTCTTGTTCTCTGGAAACCACGAGGCTCCCTGAAAACCTAGGACATCTGTGTGCATCACAAGAAGCCTGACCTCTCCTCCTTCCCAAACCACTAGCTTTGAGGAAAATGGGATGTGCCCCCCAGGGCACAGCCCTGAAGACAGCTTTCTTGGAAGAATTGATCCTTGGCGGAGGGGAGGGGCCTCAAGCGCCACCTGACAGGGGCATGGTGAGGAATATAATTGTGCTTCAGTGTCACGTTAAACAACTGGGCCACCACCCCACAACTACGACAAATGTGTCTTAGAAGAGTGTGCGACCCGATGATGCACCTGCTCAGGAGCAGCTCATGACAGGGTCCCCGGGACGCGGAGCGGGCAGCAGAGCACCTGGGGGCGGGGGGGGGGGTCTCCTGTTCAGACACAGTGTGTATCATGTCACATTTTTTTCACATTCGTCCCCAATCCTTCCAATCCTCCTTCACCATAAACATTTCCAGGTGTCTCTCCCACGTAAAAGTTGCTGTGTTGGGGGCTCTAATTACCTGCTTTCACTTAATAGTCACGACTGCCATGGGGAGAGCCTCATCACTTGACTTGGAGAAAAGACACCAGGACGCCAAGAGGTCCCAAGGAGTAAGCATCACAGCCGGGACTGTGCCTGGGGGGGCTCCAACCCCAGAGCCCACACTCCCAGCATAGCTGGAAAGCCCCTGATTCTGCAGCCTCTTCTCTCCTGTTATACCCGATGGCCTCACCCTAGTTCAAGTTAGGCCCCTCCCACCTCCCCTGCGTGCTCCGTCCTGCTGTCCCTAATATGCTCCCCATGACTCAACGGTGTCCTACTTCAACCCTGCTTGGGTTAGCTTCACACTGATTGCCCTCACTTTATAGATGGCAGCTGCTGGGGTAGCTTCCAAATCTTCCCTTCTCCAGGTGACCTAGTTTCACCACATCCCCTCTGTACAGTTTGAATTTTTAATATAGATCTGTGTTATTTTTTAAAATGAAGTAATCAAAATAACCAACAGAAGAACTAGAAGTAAAAACATCACTCACAAGAACGGGGATAAGAGAGAGAACAGCCTCAGAGAACCCTAGTTCCTCAAGATATAATAATTAAGGTTGATAAACAAAAAATCTTTTTTAGGGACGCCTGGATGGCTCAGTCATTAAGCATCTGCCTTCAGCTCAGGTCATGATCCCAGGGTCCTGGGATCGAGCCCCACATCGGGCTCCCGGCTCTGTGGGAAGCCTGCTTCTCCCTCTCCCACTCCCCCTGCTTGTGTTCCCTCTCTCGCTGTGTCTCTCTCTCTGTCAAATAAATAAATAAATAAAATCTTAAAAAAAAACAAAACTTTTTTAAAGTGGGTATTTCTGAGCAGAAGGACTAAGGGTGGGCAGGCAAGGAGGAAACCTTTCACTTTTTTATACCTTTATGTATTTTTAAAAAAATTACTCTAACACATTATTTTTGTTATTTCATAATAAAATTTTTAGATCTCAATAAAAAATTTCTTTCCATCCCCAAAATCCTGGTAGGTGGCGGAGACAGAAAGTGGCCAATTCTGTCTGGTGAGACTTGTTGCTCATACGTCTCCTTCTACGGGAACACATCTGGGCCCTTCTGGTCACACCTCCACCTGAGAGCAGAGCCTGTGTCCTTGGCGGCCCTACGGCCTACACTGTGAGCTGCCCTCTGATGGTGCTGATTGCCCACCGTGGCGACCAAGAGCTCCCAGGGGCCAGCCTAGCATTTCTGGAATGAGAAGAGTTCCCTGAACTTACTACAGGAAAATAGCATTCTGTTTAAAAAAAAAAAAAATTTCTTGTGGGGGGGCCTGGGTGGCTCAGTCAGTTCAGTGTCTGACTCCTGATTTCAGCTCAGGTCATGATCGCAGGGTCATGAGATCAAGCCCCAAGTCAGGCTCTGCACTGGGTGTGGAGCCTGCTTAAGATTCTCTCTCTCCTTCTGCTGCCCCTCCCCCCACCCCAAGCTTGCACACACTCTCTCTAAAACAAAATGCAAAATAAATCTCTTGAGACTGAGGGTAACTCCAATCTAGAACAAGCTATCAAGGGAAGGTTTTTGGAGAGCCTAAGAACGTATCTGTCTATAAGCTGGAGACTACAGCTCTGACCTCCCGAGGGCCGTGGCACCTTGGCTGCACAGGTCAGAAACTCCAGCCTATGCTGCTTGCTCGCTTTTCCTTTTTCCTAACTAAATGTAACTTCGGTGTCCTCTTCTTTAAACAGCTCTGTTGAGATGTAATTCACACACCGCACAATTCGCCCATTTAAAGAGCACAATTCAATGGTTTTTAGTGTAGTCACAGAGCTGTGTGACCATCACCACAATCAACTTTAGAACATTTTCATCACCCAAAAAAGAAGCCCTGTACCTTTTGGTAGTCATCCTGTCTCCTCCAAATGCCCACCTCTCCTCAGCCCTAGGTAACCATCAGTCTATTTTCTGTTTCTATCCATTTGCCTGTTTTGGACACTTCACATAGATAGAATCATATAACATGTGGTCTTTTATGACTGACTTCCTTCACTTGGCATGTTTATATTTTTCTCATTTTATATTTTTAATTACACAAGAAATGTCCTCCTTTTTTAAAAGTCAGAAAACAACAAATAAAGCTAAATTCCCTATGAACACCACCCTAGTCCTTTCCCACCTCCCCAAAGATAACTGATGTTTTGAGTGCGTGGCCTAACCTTCCACACATCAGGGCTCAGAAAACTTTTTCTGTTAAGGTCCAGATATTTTAGGCTTTGTGAAGAGCGAGTTCTGTCCTAACTACTGGATTCTCCCTTCACAGACCATAGGTAAGTGAAGGGGTATGACTGCGTTCCAATAAAACTTTATTTACAAAAACAGAAGGCAGGCCAGATTTGACTCATGAGCTAGAGTCTGTCGACCCCTATTCTACAGGAATATATAATGTATGTTAAAGCATAAAAAAAGATCCAGAACAGGGATTGGTACTTTTGGGTTTTTTTTAAATAAAGTTTTCCTGGAATACGGCCACACCCATTCATTTATGTGTCATCTACAAAAGTCTCTATTGACCGCAAAGCCCACAAAGCCTAAAATGCTTACCATGTGGCCCTCTGCATAAAAAGCTTGCTGAATCCCACTATGGAAAATATACCCTATTTTTTATATGTTCTTTTTACATACTGTATTAGACTCTACATAATATTCAGCAATTTCCTTTCCTTTTTTTCACTGGACACTGTTTTTGAGATCCATCAGGGTGGATATGTGCAGGTCTAATTAAAACTGTAACTGCCAGGGGCACCTGGGTGGCTCAGTCGGTTAAGCGACTGCCTTCGGCTCAGGTCATGATTCTGGAGTCCCGGGATCGAGTCCCGCATCGGGCTCCCTGCTCAGCAGTGAGTCTGCTTCTCCCTCGGACCCTCCCCCCTCTCATGCTCTCTCTCTCTATTTCATTCTCTCTCTCAAATAAATAAAATCTTAAAAAAAAAAACAAAACCTGTAACTGCCAAACAGAGTTCCTTTGTATGAATAGGCCCTATCTTATTTAGCCATTGCCAAATTCATGGACATTCAGGTTGCTTCAAATGTTCCACTATCACTAATGGTGCTGTGAGGAATATCCTTAAGATCGCCCCCTTGGGGGATGCCTGGGTGGCTCAGTGGGTTAAGCGTCTGCCTTCAGGTTAAGTCATGATCCCAGGGTCCTGGGATTGAGCCCCATGTTGGGCTCCCAGCTCAGTGGTGAACCTGCTTCTCCCTCTCCTCCCCACTTGTGCTCTCTCTCGCTATTTCTGTATCTCTCTCAAATAAATAAAATCTTTAAAAAAAAATTGAAAAAAAAAAAGGAAAAAAAAAGATTGCCCCCCTGGGGCTCAGGTACATGCTCTTCTCCAGGGCTCAGAGCAGAAACACAGAACACACGCATTTTTAACTGGGGCAGACAGCACCCTCCGGTGTGCCCTGTCCCCACACCCCAGCCTTACTTGGCAAAGAGGGATTTCAGTGCTGCCAGCAAGCCACAGGTCCCCAGGCCATTGGTGAATCTGATGCATCTGTCGACGGCTGCAGAAGCCAGACTGAAGAGCTTGTTCACAGAGTGGCTCAACTCCTGCACACAGTCAATGACTTCGCCATGCTCCTGGTCAGCAAATACAGACAAACGAGAGCCGCCTCATACTCGAGAACAGATGAACAGACAACACTAAGATGGGGGAGACCTCCAAACCTCTTCACCCGTGGTCAGGCGGCAGAAACGCAGTCCCAAGCTGCGAGAGCCCTCCCAGAGCCCGAGCCAAGCGGATGACATCCATGTGGCCCGTGAGATCACACACACCAACCCCTGGCAGAAAAGCCCTACATTTTTCATCTCTTTCCTCTTTTTCTGTGATTAGATGGCATCTCTCCTCTGGTTTTAAAGCTAGAATTCAAATTCTCTGTATCAAATACTCCAAAAGAATGTAAGGAAAGGAAAATGCTTCCTTCAGGGGCAAGAATGTAACTGAAGTGGAACGGACTTTCTAAGCACGTAGCTAGAAAACTGAAAAATGGCAGGAGGCGACAGAGTTTAACTAGTGTGAGATCTGCTCTTTAACATCAACTCGCGTCATGCTAGATCACCTTAATATTGGCAACGGAAATGCCTCCCCTTGCCCTTGGAGGCCTGCCCAAGTGATCCTGCCCCTGGGGCACCGTCCATGGAGGCTCGACTCCTGTGCCCACCTGCAGATGTTCCTTAGACTGAAGGCTGCCATAATAAGAATTCATTAAGTCAGGGAGATCATCAACTTATCCCCCCAAAGATTTAAGTCTCTCATTCTGCTGGACCTTTATTTGAGATTTTAAATAGAAAATCGGTAGCATATCCGTGGTCTCATTTTACACTTGGATTGCAAGAGTCTACCAGGTACTTAGAGCCTGTTTTTTGCAGAGCTGTTCCCCATCTATGCACCTTCTCCGGTGCATCCCACCCCCCTCCCTGTGGCCGGCAAACCACCGGCAGTGCTGGGACATTACCAACGGCACAGCGCTGATCTGGATGAGGACGTTCTTCTCTTCCAGGTCGCCGTACTTCAGCTGGTAGGGTTTGTATGGAGCATACACAGCCTCCACCAGTTCCGTGACTTTCACCAGGTTGTGCTCATCTTGAGGGAATCAAAAATGAAAATCGATAATGAACAAAGGGGCCGAAATTGCTGGAAAACAACGGGTGAACGGTACTCTACTGGAGCTTCTCCGGTTTCATCTTAGGGGTGACTGCCTTTTGTTAATCTGCTTTGGTTGTTCGTGGAAGCTGCAGCAATCACTTCGGTAAATATTTTGATGAATTCGGGCTCTGGGTGTAATTTGTCTAGAGCACTATCAAAGACGCCAACTCCCTTCGTCCCACAACCCACCATGGCTAAGAATCCCTTCAAATGATAACTCTAGTCAAGATGCAGTTCCAGAAGTGCTACAGAGAAAAGGCTCTGCAGGAAGAACACTTTTCCAGGACTTTAGAGACAGGATACCTCATATGCTAGGCATTCCAAAAATTCCTATATTCAACTACATACAAAGCATGTTTGTATGAAAAATTGAAATGGGCATATTCCAGGACACAGCAATTCAGCTTCTAGGCTGAACACTTACACCCAAGTGACTTCAGCATCCATTGATAATCTTTGCCTGAATAAACTTTTACACTGCTGATTTCCTAATCTTTTTGTTTCTTCTACATCTATTTGTAGGCCTTCTCTTGTAAAGAACAAATTTTCCTTTCTTGCTCTCTTTAATATAATAATCCCCACGAACTCATAGATTCTTTTTATATTCATGTGTTACGATCCATTATTGTCATTATATTCATTTTGATGCTCAAATTATTTCGAATTTGGTCAGTGGTTGCCCCTTCAGGCTGCCTCCTGTAATCTTTCTGACACATCCCCTAATCAGCCTTTAAGTGCATCAGCTGGAATCCAAAATCTCTTCTCTAGCCTGCAAGGACCCACGCGGGCCGACCTCAGGAGGTGAAAGAGGGAGGCAGTGAATCGCAAAGGCTCTTCTATCCAAGCTCCCCTGCCTCTTACTTAGGTGACTGTGCGCAATGACAGACCTTTGGATACCTGCTTCCTCAACTATAAGTTGAGGTTAATAATGGCGTCAATCTTATAAGGCCTTAGTGGAGATTACATAAAATCTGTCTAGCATGTGGTAACACTTCATAAAAGCCAGCTCTTTTTATTTATTACTGCCCCAGCCTTTCCTCCTTCACAATTCCCCCGCCTCCAGCCTTCTCTCCAGTTCCTCGGAAGCACCAGGCTCCCTTCCGGTCACGTGCCGATGCTTCTGTCTGGAAGGACCTTGTTCTCCCTTATCCTCCGGGATCTGGTCACCACCCATTTTTCTTCCACGGCTCACTCAGCTCAAGTCACCGGGCTCCATCAGCTTTGTTGGCTCATATACGCTCCTAGAACCACTCGGCTTTTCTTCAAAGTACTCATCTGATTTTGTAATTATACACCCATTACTATGATCATTAGGTTATTTCCCACCGGAACAGATGTTGGGTGACAGGAGGGACAGTGTCTAGTTTTGCTCGGCATAGCAACCTCAGCATCCAGCATTCCAGTACTCGTCCATTTGTAGTTGAGTGAATAAATTAAACACGTTGTGACCTATCCATAAAGCAGTCATGAAAAATAATTGGACATCTACACATATAAAACACACACACAGCTGGGAATCAGAGATGCAGCTGGGAAGACAGAAGGTAAAAATCTGTGGTGGTGGATTTTATTTGGAACAATATGTATAAACTGGAAATATGTATTTCCTAGCTCTGTCCAACAAAGGGCCTAGAAGCCCAGCAATAATGAGTACCCTCAGTGTCCAGATCTTGTTCTAATACCATTTATTTCCCACTAGAAGAAACCAGGCTCCTTGGCAAAACACAGGTCTGAGACAGGGAAGGTATGTGTTCCTGGAACAGTTTGTGCCAAACAGCAAGAAAGCTCTCAAAGACTGATGGGCACATGTCAAAAAGATCCAGGAGGCAGCCCAAAGGGGCAACCACTGACCAAATTTGAAATAATTCAAGCATCAAAATGAATAGTGGCAATAACAAATCATAACACAATGAGTAAAAAAAGAATCCATGAATTCACAGTGATATGAAAGTGAGGAAAGGGGGCACCAGGCTGGCTCAGTCAGAGAAGCATGAGACTTTGATCTCAGGGTTGTGAGTTCAAGTACCACATGGGGTGTAGAGATTACTTATTTAAATAAAACTTTAAAAAAAAGTGAGGAAAGAAAGGGAAATCTCTTCTTTATAAAAGAAGGCCTGTAAATAGATGTAGAAGGAATGAAAGAATTAGGAAATCATCATTTTATAATCAGCAATGTAAAAGTTTATTCAGGCAAGGATTATCAACAGATGCTGAAGTCACTGGGTAAACGTTTTTTGAGGATTAGTATATTCCTATGGGCTCAAAGCATCACCCCATGGATTACTTATTTTTTTTTTTAAGATTTTATTTATTTATTTGAAAGACAGAGAGTGAGGAGAAAGCATGCGCGGTGAGGAGCAGAGGGAGAAGCAGACTCCCTGCTGAACAAGAAGCCAGATGTGGGGCTCCATCCCGGGACCCATAACCTGAGCCAAAGGCAGACACTCAACCGACTGAGCCATGCAGGCACCCCAAGGATTACTTATTAATTACAAAGAGGAAGAAGTACCTTAATAATGGAGAGATCTAGTTGATACATCTACCAAGTGATTAATCCAACCATCACCAATGATTGGACATTATGTGTCTCCCTGATGTCATGCCACAGGAAATACAAACCATCATCAATGTAGCATTCCTGCCAAAATATTTCATCTAAATTTAATCTTGAGGAATCAATCAAACAGTTCCAGAATATGGGACATTCTACTAGAAAATTACCCTGTATTCTTCAAAGAGGTCAGTGTCATGAAAGACAAAAGAAAGATGAGACGACTGTTTCAGATTAAGAGATTAAAGAGACAAGACAACCAGATACAATGTGCATCAACTGATCTTAAAGAGAAGCAGAGGTGGGGAAGCAGCTATGAAGACTTCTGTGGGAAAAAAAAAAACTTCTGTGGAACAAATGGAAAAATTCATACATTAGGTGACATTACTGAGTAAATATTAAATTTGGGAAAGTTAATAACAGTAACAAAATACTCTATTAAAACATATTTAAGGAGGGGCACCTGGGTGGCTCAGTCAGTTAAGTGTCTGCCTTCTGCTTGGGTCATGATCCCAGCATCCTGGGATCAAGCCCCAGGTCAGGCTCCCTGCTCAGTGGGGAGTCTGCTTCTCCCTCTGCCCCTTCCCCTGCTCATGCTCTCTCTCAAATAAATAAAATATATTTTTTAAGATTTTATTTTTCTAGAGAGGGAAGCAGGGGGAGGAGCGGGGTGGGGGGGGACAAGCAGACTCCTTGCTGAGCACAGAGCCTGACATGGGGCTGGATCCAAGCCAAAGGCAAACACTTAACCGAGGTGCCCCAATAAATAAAATCTTTAAAAAAATATATTTAAGGAGCAGCTGGGTGGCTCAGTCAGTTAAGCGTCTGCCTTTGGCTCAGGTCATGATCCCTGGGTTCAAGCCCCGGGTCAGGCTCTCTGCTCAGCAGGGAGTCTGCTTCTCCCTTCCCCTCTGTCCCCACCCCCCGCTCGTGCTCTCTCTTGCTCTCGCTCTATCTCAAATAAATAAATAAAATCTTTAAAAAAATATATTTAAGGATACAGAGACAGTCTCATTCATAAAGAATCTGCACACGGATATAACACAAAATACTGTTTCTAGATGGGAGATGGAGAATGACCTTCCTTCTTTGTGTTTTCTGGGTTTTTCTATAATGAATACCTATTGTTTATTAATTATAAAATCAACTTATCTTAAATATTTAGTTTTTCTATTGCATAATCTTTCATATATTTCTAATTATGCCCTGTACACGCATTAATTACTAAAATAGAAACAATGTTAAAGGCAAAATAGAAAGTTAGAAAATATATCTGCAACATACTGGATAAACAATGGAAAAAAAATCCTTGCTACATAAGGATATTTTGGGAAGATACACCAAATTTTTAACAGTGGTTATATATATTTCCATTTGGGGAAAATGTGTATTTATATTTGAATTACTGGGAGAAAATATAACAGAAGGCTGCTAGAGGCTCTCTCTTAGTGCTGAGGTGGTGAATCATTTTTACTCTTCTGTATTTTTATTTTTGTGTGTTTTCAAAGTATTTTTAGATTTAAAAAAAACTTTTTTGAAAATTTCAATAGGAATCCTTAAACATCTAAATTTCTGTGGCTGGCTAACAAAGCACTTCAATGTCTGATTCTTTGGAGGGTGGTTCTCTCTTCTTCAAGAATGTCCTTCACCAGTGGGAGGAAGGCAACCTGCCCCTCTGCCCTTTGCCCTATCTTCAATCTGCTCTGCCCGAGCAGGTAGTGTGTCCTACACTCTAGCCACTTGGACACCGCATCCTGGTCCCCTAGAAGCTATCCACATCCCCTCAGCCTCTCCCACAACTGGGACCGGCCGAGTGAGTGAGCCAAAACACCTATGAATCATCCGGAACTCGAACAATAAACACACTCCCTGGAATGTACAAAGTAATTATACGCAAATGTAATTAAAGAGAATAACTATTAAGTACACCAAGTTAGTGACACATAGCAGCCAAATGGCAGAACAAAGCTTCCTGAAGCGATTTCCTGATTTGACAGCAGCATGCGTCACGAGATCGGTGCTACTTAAAAGTTTATGACGCTTTTAACTTACAGGGGACACAGGTAACATACCACTGCTGTTTTCCTAAATGGGAACTAGGAGTGCCTTGCTCCAAGATACAGCTGGGGAATACCCATTTTCCCTGTAACCACCTTTAGTCCTGACCACAGCGTCTCTGTCCTTAAAAACTTGCTGATGCCCCATCAAAAAGCTCCTCTAACCTATTCGTTCTCTTCAACTTACTTTTTAGGTTGAGTTGTCTGAGGTTTCATGATGCCTCAAAGGGAAGAGGACTCTAGCCTCCCAATGTAACCGGCTGCCAATTCAAGGCCACCAATGCCCAGCTACCTCTTTTATATTCTAAGCCCCTGCCGAAGTGCCCATCACTTCCCCAGAGCATGCAAAGCCCCTAGGTAGCACTGGGCTTGGTTAATACATTAGGCAACAACCAATTCCATAACGGCAATGCTTTCATGGAAAAGGCTTCTTTATCTGCTGAGAAGGAAAACAAGGATCCCTTCCAATTCTGTAAAATCAGTCATCTGAAAAGACAGACAAACCCAGGCCCCAGAAGCCTCAAAAAGAGCAAGCGAAGACAAGCCAGAAGGAATGTTTACGTGGGTGGGGGAGCTGCGCCATCTCCAATCCCTTGGCAAAGTGGGTGGTGGTGTCATAGAACTCTAGCAGCTTGAGGAGCTCCAGCTCAGGCCCTGCCCTCTCCACGCTGGTGCTGAGGCAGTCGGGCAGAGTGGGCAGCAAGGCCCCCAGAGTCTGAATCAGCAGCACGGTCACCACCTCGTGGGGGTTCTTGAAAACCTACGGTGGGAAAGAGGTATCTGCGTTAGCACACAGGACCAAAGAGGAGCGTACCTTTTAAAGAAGCAGTCTCCTGGACTGCTCTCAGAGGAATCTCTCCAACGGCTGGCAAGTGGCCTAGTCAAGAGCTTTAAGCCCCAAGCGGTCCTTACCCCAAACTCGAACAAGCTCAGAAAGCCAAGTAACTGGCAGAACTTGCAACTTGTCCCGAACAATTGGCTATTTCATGTCTATTACTGGCACCCAGTGCCTCTTTTCAAATCTATCACACGTAGTATTTAGATGGCCGCCCAAAACTGGCCAGCGAGGACTGTGCAGATGACAGTGCAGAAACTGGGAGTGTGTGGGAGGTGGGGAACAAAATGGAATTAAAGAACAGCAATTCACCGAGTCAGGGTTGGAGGACAGCCAGATTTGCAGACCAGCCCACAGCCACCTTTCTCTCCCCTTGACACAGATCTTCAGTAAAGATGGATTTATCTTTTATTCTAAGGACCACCAGGAAGAGTGTATCCAGGGTCTTTTAGATTATAGATTCACTTATTCACTAAGAGTCTTTTTTTTCTGTTTCATACACTACTGATCTCTTGGACAAAACTGGAAAAATGTACACAGGACATTTAGGGAGGGGTTCTCACAGACACCCCTGTGTTGATCAAATGCTTTTTTATCATAACATAACTTAAATATGCACAAACATGAAAACAAGATATAAGACCATTCTTAGGTAACTCTAAGGCCAAAAGAGGTGTAAGTTTAAAAACTATAAAATCAATAAACTCAAATTTTATGAGAAAAGACCCTGAGAGGAATGAAAGTGAAAACACAACTTCCCCAAAGTTATGGGATACAGCAAAAGCAACACTAAGAGGGAAATTTATAGTTTTAAACACATATATTAAAAAGGAAGGAAAAAGTATCTCAAATCAATAACCTAACTGTACACATTAAGGAACAAGAAAAAGAAGAAACTAAACCCAAAGCTAGCAGAAGGAAGGAAATAATAAAGATCAGAGCAGAGGTAAATGAAATAAAGAATAGAAAGTTAATTTTAAAAATCAACAAAACTAGTTGGTTCTTTGAAAAGACCAACAAAACTGACAAACCTGTTATCTAGACTGACAAAAATAAAGAAGCCTTGAATTACTAAAGTCAGATACAAAGGTGGGTACATTTACTACAATTTTACAGAGATAAGAGGGATTAGAAGAGAATATGATGAACAAGTATATGCCAACAAATTAGATAACTTAGATAAAACAGACAAATTCCTAGAAACACAATTTACCAAAACTGATTGAAGAAGAAATAGAAAATCTAAACAGTCCTATAACTAACTAGGAAAGAGGCAGAACCAGTAATCAAAAATGGGTTGCTCCAAAATTCATATGTTGAAGTCCAAACCCCCAGTATCCCAGAATGTGACTATCTTTGGACCTATGAGCTTTAAAGAGGCAATTAAGGTAAAATGGGTCATCTGGGTGGGCCCTTATCCAATCTGACTGGTGTCTTTATAACAAGAGGAGATCAGGGCACAGACACCCATAGAAAGAAGACCTAGGTAGAAGAATGCCACCAGCAAGCCAAGAGAGGTCTCAGAAGAAACCAACCCTGCCAATACCTTGACCTTGGACTTCTCACCCCCGGAACCATAAGAAAATGAATTCCTATTGTTTGAACCACCCAGTCTGTGATATTTAGTTATGGCGGTCCTGGCAAACTAATACAAAACACTTTCTAACTCATTCTATGAAGCCAGCATTAACCTGATACCAAAGCCAACCAGATACTAAAAGAAAATTACAGACCATTTCTCTTATAAATACACAATTAACAATACCCAACAAAGTAATAGTAAACTAAATTCAGCAACCATATTAAAAGGATTTTACACCATAACCAAGTGGGATGGATCTCCCAAATGAAGAGTGGTTCAATATATAAAAATTAATCAATGTAATATACTACATTAACAGAATGAAGGGAAGAAAACACATGACCATCTTGGTTAATGCAGAAAAAAGCATTTGACAAAAACACCCTTTATGTTAAAAAAAGTAAAACAAAAAAAAAAACCCCAAAAAACTCAATAAACTAGGAATAGAAAAGAACTTCCTCAACATGATAAAGGTCACATAAGAAAAACAGCTATCATACTCAATGGTGAAAGACTGAAAGCTTTTCCCCTAAGGCCAGGAACAAGACAAGTATGCTATTTTATTCAACATAGTATTGGAAGTTCTAGCCAGAACAACAGGACAAGAAAAAGAAATAAAAGGCATTTAAATTGTAAAGGAAGAAAAAAAATTATCTCTGTTCATAAGCTATATGTAGAAAACCCTCAAGAATTCACACACACACACAAACTGTTAGTGTTAGTAAGCAAATTCGGCAAAGCTACAGGACATAAAATCAACAAGCAAAAATCAGTTGCATTTCTATACACTAGCAATGAACAACCCAAAAAGGAAATTAAGAAAACAATACCATTTATAACAGCACCAAAATGAATAAAATAGAAATAAACATAACCAAGGAGCTAAAAGACTTGTACGCTGAAAACAATAAAAAACTGCTCAAGAAATTAAAGACACAAATAAATGGCAAAACCATCCTGTGTTCATGGATTGGAAGACTTAACACTGTTGGAGCACCTGGATGCTCAGTTGGTTAAGCGTCTGCCTTCGGCTCAGGTCATGATCCCAGGGTCCTGGGATCGAGCCCTGCAACAGGCTCACTGCTCAGCGGGAAGCCTGCTTCTCCCTCTCCCACACCCCCTGCTTGTGTGCTGTCTCTCTCAAGTAAATAAATAAAATATTTAAAAAAAGAAGAATGACAATGGCTAACTCTCACTTCCAGATTTCAAAACTTCCTACAAAGGTACACTAATCAAAACAGTGTGGCACAAGCATAAGGATAGACACATAGTCCAATGGGATAGAGAGCCTAGAAATAAACCGTCACATACATGGTAGAATGATTTTCAATAAGAGTGCCAAGCCCATTCAATGGGCAAAGGACAGACTTTGCAACAAATGGTGCTCTGAAAACTGGATATCCACATGCAAAAGAAAAACACTGGAACCTTACTTTGCACCATTACAAAAAAATTAACTCAAAATTAATTAGATCCAAACATTAAGAGTAATGTATAAAAATCTTAGAAAAGACATTTGTTTGGACGCCTGGGTGGCTCAGTCGGTTAAGCATCTGCTCTTGGTTTTGGCTCAGGTCATTATTTCAGGGCTGTGAGATTGAGCCCAGCACTGGGCTCTGCACTCAGCGGAGAGTGTGCTTGAGATTCTCTCCCTCTCCCTCTGTCCCTCCCCTGCTTGCTTTCTCTCTCTAAAATAAATAAATAAATCTTAAAAGAAAAAAGAAAAAACACTGGGGAAAATCTTCATGATCTTGGATGTGGCAAGAGTTTCTAAATGCAACACCAAAAGCACAGGCAACAACAGAAAAACAGATAAACTGGGCTATATCACAATTAAAAACCTGTGCATCAAGGAACACTGCAAACAGACTGAAAAGACAACCCATGGGGTGGGAAGAAATACTTACAGATCATATATCAATAAGGGATTAATATCCCAAATACAGATTCAACTCAAAATTGGGCAAAGGACTTTAACAGAATTTTCTCCAAAGAAGATAATACAAATGGCTGATAAACAAATGAAATGATGCTCAACATCATTAGTCATTAGGAAAACATAAATCGAAACCACAATGAGGTACCACTTCACATCCATTAGGATGGCTATCATTAAAAAAAAAAAGGAGGGGCGCCTGGGTGGCTCAGTTGGTTAAGCATCTGCCTTCAGCTCAGGTCATGATCTCAGGGTCCTGGGATTGAGTCCTGCATTGGGCTCCCTGCTCAGCGGGGAGTCTGCTTCTCCCTCTCCCCCTGACCCCCCACACTCTTGTACTCTCTCTCAAATAAATAAAATCTTTAACAAATAAACAAACAAGCAAAAGGAAAAGAAAATAACAAGTGTTAGTGCGGATGTGGAGAAACTGGAACCTTCATGTATTTGCTGGTGGGAGGGTAAAATGGTACAGCTGCTGTGGAAAAGTCTGGCGGTTCCTCAAAAGGTTAAACATGATGATATGATCCAGCAATTCCATTCCTAGGTGTACACTCCAAAGAACTGAAAACAGGGATCCAAATAGGTATATGTACACCCATATTCACAGCAGCATTATTCACAATAGCCAAAAGGTGGGAGCGGTCCAAGTGTTTATTAACACATGAATGGATAAATAGAATGTGGTAGATACACATAATGGAATATTATTCAGCCATAAAAAATGGAATGGAAAATTCCAGTATCTGCCACAACACAGATAATCCTTGAAAACATTATGCTAAGTGGAATAAGCCAGACACAAAGGACAGACACGGTACAATTCTGCTTCTAAGAGGGATCTAGAACAAGAAAATATAGAGACAACAGAACAGAGGATACCAGGGCATGGGGGAGAAGGGCTTGGGGGAGTTAATGCTTATCGGTCACACAGTTTCTGTTTGGGATGATTAAAAAGTTCTAGAAACAGAGAGTGGTAATAGTTAATCAACACTGTGAATATACTCAATGCTGCTTAACTGTACACTTAAAAATGGTAAATTTTATGTTATGTATATTTCACCACAATAAAAGAAAAAGTCACTTCAACTTTAAAACTAGCAAAATTCAAAAGAATAGGACAGATGAAGATGATACCCTGCAACTCAACTTTTTCATCCTGAATTCAATCTGAGCACAGGTTCCTTTGAGCTCACAGCATCCCTCTACTGCTTTGTGGTGTGTGATGAGGACTCTCGCACTGCTTCTATCTCTAGGAAAAACTACTGACTACGAAGGAAACATCAAGTTGGCTATGGCATTAAACAGAATGCACTTGGTGCCACTGCATACATCATGTAAGTACTGAGTTTGTCCCCAACAGAACAGGGACACCAACATGGTTATCAACACAAATGCACCTACTCAATT